CTTTTGGACTTTGGATTTCTGGTTCTGATATAATAGAAATACAGGTGGTTCATAGTTCTCCTTTTTAAAGACAGGATCTTGCATCATTAATCAAGCTGGCCTCAAACTCAAGGCAATCCTCCTGCCTTAGCTTCCCAAGTTGAGGGATTATAGGCACACACCCCAACGATTAGGACGCTAGACCATATTCTTTTGGACATCCCCAGACCCTGATACTGAAATAGCCTCTTTACTGTACACAGCCCATTTCCCCCCCTGCAAACCTGTAGCCAGTGCAGTCTAAACATGGGTCACTGTGGTCAGAAGCACGGTCTGCTCCTAGTGTTAGTGTGTCATCTGAGGGCTGAGTCTTTGTACTGTGAAGGATTACAGCATACAGAGCAGTGTCTTCAGCCTTGGCTCATAGACCTTAACCAGAGCTACGGCAGTCCAGGTTGCCTGTGTTGTGGAGATCCTGCTGATCTGTGGGAAGGCCTTGAAGGTAAAGTGCTGTCTATACAGTGTCTTTATCAGAGTTAGTTAATATGATACAGGCCAGCAGAGATACTGTTAGCAGCAGAAAAGCAACAGGGCACAGGGCTCCTGTCTCCACATAGCACAAGGACCTTAGACTTCACCTAGGGAGAACCATCTCTGAGGAGCCCACAGTTAGGCCATTTTCTCCACTGTAAATGCTATGTGAGTGGAGAAGCAATTATAGAAACGTCAGAGAAACAACTTTGTGTGTGTGTGTGTGTTTTTTAACTTAACCTTTTTTTTACTGTGTTAATGCATAATTGAGAAGAGGTGTTCAAGGAGTTGGTAAATACCAGCCTTTACTAAGTATGTGAGCTTTGGATTGCAGTATTCTCCTTTAGCTGTCAGTTCTTTTCATTGTTCTAAAGTCAAATACGTTAAAGATATTGAAACAAAATGAAGCCAGGCGTGAGGGTGCACACCTATAGTTAGTTGAGGTAGGAGATCACAAGTTTGAGGATAGTCTGAGCTGCATAGAAAGACCATATTGAGAAAGGAAGGAAGGAAGGAAGGAAGGAAGGAAGGAAGGAAGGAAGGAAGGAAGGAAGGGAGGGAGGGAAATGTTTCTAAAACAATATTAATGAAGAAAACTATCTATAAAATAGAATTCCCCCTTGCACTTTTGAGGGGGAGAGAGGGTCACTTGTAGCCCAGGCTAGCCTCATACTCTTTGTAGCTGAGGGCGGCCTTGAATTTCCTTCTCTGCTCCGGCTTTCTGAGTGCTTGGATTACAGGCACGTGCCCATTTTTATGCACTGCAGCAGATAAAACCCAGGGCACTGTACCAGCTGAGCTACAACCCCAACCCTAGATGCTAGTTTTATACTGCTGTGCTGACACATTGCTCTGAACTCTAGCTGACAACACAAATGTGCTGCTCTACAGTCCCATGTTACAGTGCCATAGTCTAAACGTCTGTACAGGCATCTTCAGGCCAGAAAAGATTGTTCGGCTATCTTTTTCCGTAGGGTTTTAGAAGTAAATCTTTTTTTTTTTTCTTTTCAGCTGGTAGGTGCCACTCAGTCTGTCCTTGGCCTTTGCACATTTTGAGAGTGTAGCATCTCTCCCTAGCTTCCATTATCACTTCTTTGAGTCCTTAAATTTTTTGTATGTTCTTTTAATTTACTTATTTTTGTGTGTGTGTAAATATAGTGGCACACATGCACATGTCTGTTAGAGACAATTCACAGGGCTCCATTGTCTCCTTCCACTATGCGTGTCTTAGTCAAGTCAAACAGATTTGGCAGCAAACACCTTTACTCACTGAACCATCTTACCAGCCCAAGTTTTGTTTTGTTTTTGTTTTTTTCCAAGAAGTGTGTGTTCATGTAAGTGCACATGCCTGCAGAGGCAAGAAGTGTCTGGTTCCCTGGAGCTGGAATTACAGGTGAGCTCCCTAGCATGGGTTCTGGGAAGTGAGCTTGTCCTGGGCAAGAGCAGTGCTTGTTCTTAACTGCAGGCTCACCTCACCAGCCTCCATTTTGTTTGGATATTTTTGCCTTTTTTATCCCTTCTTTTTTGAGAGTTTCTTACACTATAGCCCCAGTCTAGACTGGGGCTCACTGTTGTAGCCCAGGGTGACCTTGAACTCACGGCACTTCTGCCTCAACTTCCTGATAGCTGGGCTCATAAGTGCCGCCACACCCATTTTCCAGCAATTTTGGTTGTCAGGCAGAAGGAAAAAATTCAGTCTTGATGTGAGGAGTCTATTTCAGGAAATGAGACCTAGCGGTATACTTCCAAGCCCTCTTAGAAGGGTCCTCTGGCTCCTGCTAGAGCGTGTTGAGATGTAATCAGAAGTGCACTCCTGATCTCTACAGATGAGCACCGAGTAAGCATTTCACTGCACACCATGAAGTGGACATCTTACCTAAGCTAGTTACATCACAAACAGGTAGTAGCAGTTAATAATTCCACTTATTAACCAGCATTAAGTTTATTAGATTTACCTTCTGTTTATAGTACCTACCTTCCAACTTAGAATGATCCAAAGCCATTCTAAATTAAGCACTTACAAAATAGAAAGTAATTTCCTCCGGATACACAGATGGGAAGCAGTGAGAACTCCAGGCCGCCTGGAACAAACAGATGGATCTAGACGGCCCTGCCAGTGTGGGTTGTTTGTTAGCAGTGACCGTGCCATACCCTCTGCAGAGAATTATTATTTGGTTCCAGGATGAGAAGGTCCACAGAAATAGGACTTTATTGCTTGTATTTTTTTTTTAAATGAATTTTGGTACCTTTAAAAATGTGAATTTTTAAATTGAAATGCATTCAACATTTCCTTTGCTTATTTGTTTTTCTTCTGTTTTTTTAAACATTGACTTTTTTGAACTAATGGGCAATTATTTTCATACAATAAATTTTTTTTTTTTTTTTTTTTTTTTAGCTCTTTCCCACAGAATGATTTTTGTTATTGTGTTTTGAGACAAGGGCTTATTGTATACCCAGGTTAGCCTTGAACTTTTTCTTTCTTTATTACTAATTAATGTATTTATTTATTGTGATAGTGTTCATGTAGCTCAGGGTTGGCATTGAACTCAAGATCATCTAGCCTCCACCCTCCACGTGTTGGGATCACAGAGGTGTGCCACCACGTCCAGGCTTTGAATTTTCATTCTCCTGCCTCAGCTTCCTTAGTCATTCTCCTGCCTCAGCTTCCTTAGAGCTGAAGTCATGTGCTACAGTGCCTAGGTTTTGGGTGAAGGATTTTATTTTATTATCTGGGGTGGGGGCGGGGGTTGCTGGGGAACTAACCCAGAGCTGATGTGTGCTACCATTCAACTCCATCAACTACATTAAAATAAAATGGGAACTTAAGGCGCCAAAACAGTCTGAATGTGGAATTGCCCCTAGATACTTCAGGGTTTTTTCCTGGCCTCTCCCATACTAGTTGAGCATATCTCTGTGTGTGTGTTGTCTTATGAAGTGTCTCAGAGCATGGAACTCCAGGAACAGGAGCGTCCCATTGCATCTGCTTCAAGTGCACCGCTGGCATTTCAGCCGCCGCCGCAACAGCTGTGTTGGAAAGGAGGAGCGCTGAGCGCTGGGGAGCATTCAGCCTGCGAGCCGGCCAGATAGTACTACCTCCCCGAGCTGGCATGCTGGGCATCACAGAGATGCTGAGCTGCTGGTTGGTTAGGGTGAAGGGCTTCTGCCATACCGATAATCTCAGCCTGTCTAGATCAAATGGCAAGTGGTGGGCCTAGAAACAGCTCATTTAAAATCTATATTTCTTCTAGCTTTTCCGGGTTTGAAGACTGTTAGTTTTGAATTGAGATTGATTTGGGGGAAATTACCATGTAAATTCCAATAAATGGAAAATGTATTTTAATTAAACACAAAGTAATTTAATAATAAAATTACTGAAAATTAAAATGACTTGGATGTGATACATTACTGAGATTTTAAAAAATCTTTTCCAGTTGGAATTTAAGTTTGGTTTTATTTTTTAAGATTTATTTATTTTACGTATATGAATGTTCTGTTTTCATGCACACCAGAAGAGGGAATCAGATGCCATTACAGATGGTTGTGAGCCACTATGTGGTTGCTGGGAATTGAACTCAGGGCTTCTGGAAGAACAGCCAGTGCTCTTAACCGCTGAGCCATCTCTCCAGCCCGGAATTTAAGTTTTTAATGTGTCTCAGAAGTACTTAAAAAGTAACTTTAAGCCGAAAGTTGTGACACAGACCTGTAATCCCAGCAGAGGCAGGTGGAACTCTGTGAGTTAGAGGCCAGCCTGGTCTACCAAGAGAGTCTAGGAGAGCCAAGGCTACACAGAGAAACCCTGTCTCAAAAAAAAAAGTAATATTAATTTAGGCATCAGTTATTTTTATTACTGTAATGAAACACCATATAAGAGAAAGTGTTTAATTCGACTTAGGGTTAAAAAGGGTTAGAATTCATGATGGCAGAGCAAAGGCTGACCTTTGCTGGACCTGCAAACAGAAGGTAGAGATGGCACCAGGAATGACACTTTTGAAACTCAAAGCCTGGCCTAGTGACACCCCCATCAAGGCTGTATCTCCTAATCCTGCCCAAATGGTTCTACCATCTGGGGACCAAGTATTTAAATAGACGGGACATCTCATTCAAACCACCACAGTCTATATGAAATTTTTGTGCTGAATACGGTGATTTGCAGATTATATTTCCTCCTTTATAATACTTTTTAAGAACCTGAAAAATCCGTTGCCTGGAGCAGCTAGCTTTCTTGCAGCAGTCTTCTTCCTTGGCACTACATTTGATGTTCAGCCAGCATTTTATAAGCTCGGTGGGCAGGCTCGGTTTTGGTATTTGACTTTGGGTAGGCAGGCTATGAAATAGTTTGGATAGTCTCCCTGAACTTATTACTAGTGAATGCACACTTGTTAGAGACATGCCTTCCCTCTCTGCTCCCCTCTCCTCTAAGGGGATACAATGGCAGAGTATTCAGAGATCCTCCCACTACTCTTTGTGCTTACCTAGTGTTTTCTATCTAGGTCTTGATAGAACTTTTGCTAAGGAAATGATTTGGTGATGGAGTGTTCCTCCTGACCGATGGACTCAAAGAAGAAAAGGTAAAATCATTTTTTCCCTCCCTCTCCTTCTAGGAAAGCATAACAGAAAACACCATGAGGTTGTAGTTAATATTTTTGGAGTTTGATTTCCTTTTCAGAGGTAGTAAATGGGAGTGCATGGTTGTATTTGTAAGTGCTAAGTAGAGAGACAAGATTATTTAAATAAAGATAATTAGAGAAAAGCTTTGTTGATAGTCTCTTGTGCTTATAAAGGGATTTTATTATCTTTAAACACTTGTAGGCATCCTTATAATCAATTTTAAGTTTCAATTTCTCCTTAGAAAACTACTCGCAGAAGGAAGGTTGAATTGTGTCTTTTCTTCCATAGATTGTTAAGCGCAGTTAAAATTTATTCGATTTTATATTTCGAGACAGAGTTTTTCTGTGTAGCCCTTTCTGTCCTAGAACTCATTCTGTAGACCAGGCTGGCCTCGAACTCCCAGGGATCCACCTGCCTCTGCTTTACAAGCACTGGGATCAAAGGTGTGCGCTCGAACTGTGCAGCCAGCTCACTTACCATCTAAGGGAATGTTGGTCAGCAAAAGTAGAGACATTTAGAAAAACGTTTATGCTCCAACTGAAAGAGAAGAATCTGTTCTATAGAAACAAGCAAACAAAAACATGTGTTGCTGGGTGTGGTGGCACACATCATTTATCATAGAACTTGAGAGGTGGAGGAAATCAGATCTCTGAGTTTGGGGCCAGCCAGGCTACACAGTGAGACCGTCTCAGAGGTGGCTCAGGGAGAGAATCAATCAACCCTTCCTTCCTTTTTTTTTTTTTTTTTTTTTAATTTTATTTTGAGACAGGGTTTCTCTGTGTAGCCCTGGCTGTCCTGGACTTGCTTTGTGGACCAGGCTGGGCTCTGCCTCCCCGAGTGCTGGAAGCACTGGGATCAAAGGCATGCGAAGGCATGTGCTACCACGCCTGGCTGGTAACTCTTTCTTAACAGTATAAGGAAATCGTAGAAGACTGTCAATTAGAAATTTGATTCTTAAAAAGTCTAAATAATGGAAAATGATAGAAGCTTCTCAGAAAACTTCAAATAGGCAGATATGGTGGTATATACTTGTTATCTCAGCACAGGAGAGGTTAAGGCCTGAGGAGTATGAGTTTGAAGCCAGCCTGTCTACATAGACCCTGTCTCAAAAAACAAACCCCTATAAACACCTGTCCCCTCCCTTAAATGGAATTGCTGTATAATCCAGCAGTCTCACTATGAAGTTGGATACATTGCCTGTATCCAAAGGGAGGGAAATCCATATCTGGAAAAGAAACATGCACTCCTGACAGTAGGCAACATATGGAGTTGACTTGGCTGTCCATTGATGGGTTAAATAAAAAGTGTTGTATGCAGTCAGTGGCCTGTATTCAGCCATAAAAAAACATAAAATCTTGTCATTTGTAGCAGCATGCTTGGACATTTTGATGAATGAAGTAAGTCAGGCATAAAAAGTCTGATACCACATCTCTTTACTTACTTGTGGAAGGTTAAAAGTTGGTCTCTGAAGCTAGAGTGCAGAATAGTGGCTTCCAGTACATAGGAAGAATGGATGTGGTTAATGTTTGTAGGGTGTCTTTGTACAGGAAGGATACCTTAGGATGTTCCATCAGACTAGAGGCTGAATGATAGAGTTGTCTCTGTCTCTTGTTCTCTCTTTCCTAGAGACACGAGTCTCACTTTTGTAGCTCAGACTGACCGTAGCTCATACTCGGAGTACTTGAACTGTAGTCCCTCTAGAGCTGGGATTGCAGTCGAGTGTCACCATACCCAGTTCTGTGTATTTCCAAATAGCTAGTAGAAAAGATTTTTGAATGCCTCAAATACAAGTAAATAGTTCATGTTTGAAGTAAGGAATATGATCGTTGCCCTGTCCATTACACATACATACATGTATGGAATTAATACATTGTTGTACTTGATATATGTTCAAGTTCAAATCATAATATTTAAAAGCTTTAAATGGCTGTGGACTGAGGATAGAGCTCAGTTGTACAGTGCTTGTCTATTATGTGCAAGGCCCTGGGCTTAGTCCCTAGCACCATAAACAAATGTAAGTAGCAGTTAGATTTGAATTCAGCATAAAATGAAAGATTTCTATTCCTCATATCTTTTTTTTCATCAAATTAGAAATTTTGTGCTGCTAAATCATAAAACATAAAAACATCTCAGGCCTTATTTTGCTTAGAGGCAAGTAATTTGTGGGTTTAGATTATCCTCTAGCCTTTTATGTAAATGGTTGTATTATCTTGGCTCTGGTGCCATATATAACCAAGAGTAAAGCAACTGGTAGTTAAATTCCCTGACCCAGCTATCCCTGTATCTGTGCTGGGAGAAGGTGCAGGATCAGATTCACACCCCCTCCCCCAGCACACACACAGCCATACACGAGAAGGAAGGGCCTGTCTCTCGGGAACTATTAAGGGCAAAAGATAACAGCTTTGCTTTGAGTTGTAGCAATAATTGTTTTGTTTTCTTTTCTTTTTAAATGTTTGTAGCTCAACAGAGGCAGAAGGATCCAAAGAAAGAGGCCTGGTCCATGTCTGGCAGGCAGGATCCTTTTCTCTAACACCAGAGAGGTTGCCAGGCTGGGGAGGAAAGACGGTTCTTCAGGCAGCCCTTGGCGTGAAGCATGGAGTTCTTCTGACTGAAGGTATTTGGAAGGTAGCTGAGCAGTGCAGCCCGCCCTGCTTGTGCCTGTGTGTGAGGTCAGGAAATGCTTATTGGCAACTACAGGCTCTTTCTGAGCATCGCTGTAGCTTGTGCTCTTTGTTCTCAAAGTATATTCCAGCTCCTTTTACAAAAACTACATTTCTTTGTACATTTAAGTCAGTCTATTAACTGGAATAAACGGGAGAATTATAGTTTAAACTTTTTGTAGTAGTCAGAACATAATTAACCTCATAAGGACTTTCTTAGGGACTGCTTTGGCATATCAGAACAGTAACAGGTAAGAGCTGGGGCCTGTTACACAATTTGTTCAAGGACTAACCTGGGAATTCCCTGTGTAAACTCTTTACCTCATGCTGCCATTCTTCAGAAAGAAGCAAGAAATGAGAGCAGAATCCAAACTGGGCTTTATCTTGCCAGGGCTTTTCCCTGTCGTGGCCGGCGGTATTGTCTCAGCACAGTGTCTAATGGGCATAAGAGTCAGCTTAGGAAACTGTGTGGTGTTCTATCTGTCTAAAGTAGAGACGCAGAGAATCACATTCAGTCTTGATGCCAGTTTATCAACTCAGTCATAGATAATTTGATCTGGGTCAAGATTCTCATTGATTTCTAATTTTAAATATCTTAGTAGACATTTAAGTATTAATGATATTTTACATTTTCATTGTAAGAACTCAGAAAAAAACCTCTAGAAACAGCTTAAACCTGGATTTAGAGGTGTTATAAAACAAACATGAACATATAAGAGTTCTCCCTAGTGTATTATTATGTTGCTTTTATTATGATACATATTTTATTAAGGGAAATACTTATTTGAAAAATGTGAACTATAAATTCAATATCTATACTATAGATCTCAAAATGTATACTTTTCAAGAATATATGGAAGAATTCTGGTGGTCTTTCTCTTTTTTGGCAGTACTGAGGATTGGGCCTGGGGCCTTACTATGCCTAAGCAAAAACTCTAGCACTAAGCTACAGAACTATCCCTTGTTGTAAATAAGATATTTGAAATATGTTATTTAAGATACCTGAAACCTTTTATTACGTCGGATATTTGGAAAGCTTTTACTAACATGGTACCTTTAAATCTGGAGTTAGGCCAGTGAGATGGTTCAGCAGGTGAAGGCACTTGTCACACAAGCCTGACGACTTCAGGGTGGTCTCATCTTCATGAAGGCAGAAGATGAGAACCTTCTCCTTGGAGTTGTCCTCTGACCTCACACATGCGCTGTGGAATGAGCCTTCCCCCACATCTCACATACACATTAATAATAATGTTACTATTAATTGTAGCCAGCTGTGGTAGCTCAGTTAGGAGGTTGAAACAGGATTGCTACAAGTTTGAGGCTAGCCTGGGCTGCGCGCGGTTAGTTCTAAGCCAGCCAAGGTTGCCGAGGGAGACCCTGTTTCACAAAAGCTGGGACAGGTGAGGGAAAGCTGCTCATTGTTCTCATGTTTAAGCAATGTCATGTTTTTAAGTGTGCAGATTGCAAAAAGAGTGCAGACTCATCTGGGGATGTATGTCATTCAGAGGTAGAGTACATGTTTAGCATGAAAGGCCCTGGGAAAAAAAAATCATCTCACAGTGTGTGCCACGCTCCAGAGTTGTGTTTTCCAGGCAGGGGGATAGCACACAGTTGTAATTTTGTTTTGGTATTTGCTCCATGATTTTGTAATGGTTTATGATGCTGGCTGTTAGTGGGCCTTATAAATCCTCACTTCAACCCAGAATGTCAAAACCACCCTGCACTTTCCAAGTCATTATGGCATGCTTCTGAAGGGTTTTGCTGAAGAAATGGTTGGTTGGTTTGCTAACTTTCCTCTTTCTCTTTTGAACCTTAGATGGCGAAGTCTACAGCTTTGGGATGCTTCCCTGGAAAAGGGAATCAGCAGAAACTTGTCCAAGCAGCCCCCTTCTAGAGAGTGCCCTGGTTGGGCATCATGTTGTCACTGTGGCAACAGGGAGCTTCCACAGCGGAGCAGTGACAGAAAGTGGGGTGGTGTACATGTGGGGGGAGAACGCTGCCGGCCAGTGCGCAGTAGCTAACCAGCAGTATGTGCCGGAGCCGAGTCCCGTCAGCATCTCTGACTCGGAGACCAGCCCTGTGTTAGCGGTTAGGATTCTACAGTTGGCGTGTGGCGAGGAACACACACTGGCATTGTCGATCAGCAGAGAGATCTGGGCATGGGGCACCGGCTGTCAGCTGGGTCTCATCACCACCACCTTCCCGGTGACAAAGCCGCAAAAGGTGGAGCACCTCGCCGGGCGAGTGGTGCTCCAGGTTGCCTGTGGTGCATTCCACAGCCTCGCCCTGGTGCAGTGCCTCCCTCCCCAGGATCTGAAGCCAGTCCCGGAGAGATGCAATCAGTGCAGCCAGCTGCTCATCACTATGACGGACAAAGAGGACCATGTGATCATCTCAGACAGCCATTGCTGCCCGTTAGGTGTGACACTGTCCGAATCCCAAGCAGAAGATCATGCCGGCACTGCCACCAGCCCTCACCCAGAGTCACTGGATGGGCAGGGAGAGGTATTTGAGAACCCTCTGGTAGAAGCTGAACCGAACGTGGGAAACGTGCAGACCGCGAGGGGCACTGCCGTCTCCTCTCAGCAGAACATTGTGGGAACTGCCGAGGTGTCTTCAGCCGGAACTGCTCCCTCGTACCCCGACACCCAGGCAGTAACTGCCTACCTGCAGAAGCTGTCGGAGCATTCAGTGAGGGAGAGCCATGAGCAAGGAGAAGAGCCACCCCAGGCCCAGGTAGCTGCTACATTTTATAACTAAAAGGGGTTTTGGAGTGAAAGTATTTGTGTTTCTGTAGGAACTGAAGTCCTGAGTCTTGGCAGCAGGGTTTTGTTTTTTTTTTTTTTGTTTTTTTTTTTTGTCTTGTTTTCCCCCAACCAGGCTGTTATAATTCCATCTTGCTAGACAAACTTAGAGAGCAAGGAGCAGCTATTCATTCAGAATCATTCTTTGTATGACCCTTCATAATTCTGAAAGATGTCATCCTGGGCTTGCTTTAGAAGTGGCCGAGTGCTGTTTATTTCCTTGCTTGTACTTCGCCATTGTGGCTGAAGCACCACTTTTTGGTAGTCCCCAGAAGAGTTTACCTGGTGCAACCATGGTCCATAGAGCTCCCTCAGGACTGTGCAGGGGCATCTCGTCATGTCTGTAAAACTCTTCTTCCATCTAGGGAGGCTACCAGGTTGCAGACTATTTAGTTGTACGCAGAGGTCTACAGTTTCTAGACATGGTGATGCATGCCTGTAATCCCAACATATGGGATGCCAAGGCAGGATTGCTGTGAATTTGAAGCTGGTCTATGCTACATAGTATCAAGCCATCCAGGACTACAATTAACACCCTGTCTCCTAAAAGGAAACAAAACAAAAACAAAAAGAAAGAAAAGAAGCTTAAAGGTTTTACACTATGTGTCAGATATGTTTTAAGTGTTGTTTTCAGTTATATCTGGTCCTTACTGGGCCTTATTTGAGTGGGGAATGCTTCCTTTTGTCTTGTTTAGAGTATTCTTGTCTGAAGATTTATGAAATGGGTTTTCCCTGATGCTGGAAACACATTGTTCCAAAGAGACAGTTTTTGGTTTGCTCTTGGGATTACCTTTTTATTTGCTTTGTGCCGAAGGTGGGGGGTGGAGATAGAAAACAAAACCATCTAATCTTGAAAGAACTGTCTCTGCTGTCTTTTTCATTCAGGGTCTTTAAAACCGTAGCTGTCAGTTCTTTATATCTGAAGCTTCTCTGTTAGAGTGAGAAAGTGGGATATATTTTTATTTATTTATTTATTTATTTTTTTGAAAGTGGGATATTTTAAGAAACAGTTCTGCCTTATGCAGTCTCTCAACTTTTTGGGATTTGACTTTTTCCCCCCAATTAAGAGTAAGCTGTTTATAAGAAAAGAATCCAAACAAGGCAACATTCATTTATCAAGAATGTTTATAGAAAATTCTTAAACTGTACATGTTTATAGAAAATTTGGCTTTGCCTCGGCTCAACTTTGAGGCCACCTCAGGCTACAGAGATTTTTTTTTTTGTCTCAAAAACAAACACAGGAGACAAAAAGTTTGTCCTTTTAGAAGCCATTCCTCTATTAAATTTAAAGCTAGAAGCAAATGGTACACAGCCCATTGAGTTATTGAATTACTACTTTAAAATCTGTATCCCCCTCCCCCTGCAAAAAAACCGAGAAATTTTTCTCTGAACTTATTTTGCTAAGTGAAGTTTTTATTATGTATGTTGGTTTTGGCAGTGTGTGTGTCTGTGTGTGTGTCCCTATTAAATTTGTAAGTAATATTTTAGCCTTACATTGAACAGTGAAAATTTTATATGCTGTTCTTTGTTATTGGTTGACTCTAAATTCTAAAATTATGTCTTCAATCAAAATGGCCAGTAATTAGTTTTCTCCTACTTTATTCGTTTAAATACAGTTAAATGGCTAGAATGTAGCTCAGTGGTAGAGCCCTTACTTATCATGCTTGAGGCTTGATCTCAGCATCTCAAAATAAGGAAAAATTTAAAAGCATACATATAAATATAGAGGTGTACATATATATGGATGTATTATGTATACATATGTATTATGTATACATATACATATATAATATACATATAACATACATATACATACATATATATGTATATGTATACATAATATATCGGGAACAGAAACTTAAGATTTATGGTTTATGAGTTCTGCCTTTCCTCTGTTTAATGGTTAAGAGCTTCCCAAAACAGCCCCTCTCAGATGCGTCAGTGCGCCTGTGAGGAGTACTACAGACATAACAAAAACAAAAGGTAGAGGCCACAGTATTACTCTGAACACCTTGTCATGAGAATTTAATCAGCAAAGCACTTGTCCTTAAGTATGTAGTCTTCAAACCTCTGCTAACTATTTTAATTAGATTACTCATTTGCCTAGAAGTAACTTTAGATTTATATGTAATTTGACAAATTATTGAGTACCTGCTTATGCCAGATACTACGCTAGTGCCTGGAAATTACTTCAAGAAAAATGGAAGCCAATGTTATTTCTACTTGTTCTCTTTTTGCTGCTGTTGTTTTTGAGACAGCATCTCACTGTCCAGGCTGGCCTGCAGCTGTATAACCATGTTTTGTTGGGTTTAGTTCTGAATTCAGGACAAATTAAGGAACAATGTGCATATCTTTGGGATATTTGGGTATAAAAAGCAATATTTATAAAGCGTAATTTTTATTTTTAAGTATGTGTAGGTGTGTGTCTGCGTGTGGGTGTGTGCATGTGAGTGGAGGCCAGAGGTGTTGGATCCTTGGGAGCTGGAGTTCCAGGTGGTTGTGAGCCGCCTGGCACAGGCTCTAGTAGCTGAACTTGAGTCCTCTGAAAAAGCAGGTGCTCTCAACTGCTGAGCTACCTTTCTGGCTCTCAGCCTCTGTAAGAAGCAATAAGTTTTTTAGTGTAACTGTGCTTGTATGTCAAAAGTTTTTTTGTGTTTATTGGGTATATTTAATGATTTTTTTTTCCTTTTAGTAAGCAGTGGTATTTGATATTTCAACCTATTTTTCACTGATACAGGAAATTTTTTGTTGAACTTTCTAATAGTCTCACGAAGCATGCTAAGAACACCAGCTCCATTTATTTAATTATTAACCTGTCACTTTTATCCTTTGTGGTAACCAAAGCAAAGGTTGTGGCCTGCCCAGCTACTGTGCCATGGGAGATAAATCACCAGCGGGTTAAGTCATAGAGATTGCAGCTTTTCCAACCTCTACCCAGGGCACTTTGTGTTCAGTCCAAGTTTGTTTTGTTTTATGTCTGTTTAATTTTTTTGAGACACAGTCTCACTGTGAAAGGTCATGCTTGCTGGCTTTGACCTTGAGTTCTTCTTGCCTCAGCCTTCCAAGGGCTGCAGCCAGGACCTTTCATACCTTCTGTGCCTTGCTCTCCTTTTCCCATGCTTGGTTTTATAAAGCAGTTAGAGATCATTTTAACATACCACTGAATAACATGACGCTGAGACAAGGGAAACCACTTAGGTAAAGAACTATGTTTCAAGCGCCATTTCCATATAGTATGTTAACTCTGCAATCTGAGACTGAAGATAAGCAGTTCTGTTGTTGCTCTTTAGCCCAGGCTGGCCTCATTTCTCCTCCTTAGCCTCTTGAACACTAGGCTTATAGACAGGCACCTGTCCACTGGGCCTGTTTTAGGTTTTTGAATGCCGATAGCTAGGAGCATTAAACTCCTGTTGTCTGCTTGTGTCTTTACATGCTGTGTGTGTGCGTGTTAGCCTCTTACAGAAGAAGCAGGCCCTGATCTTCACAGTCCACCAACCACAAGCACCTCAGCCCTCAACAGCCTGGTGGTCTCGTGTGCGTCTGCTGTTGGTGTGAGAGTGGCGGCCACATATGAAGCCTTGTCTCTCAAGAAAGTTATGAACTTTTACAGTACTGCCGCCGGTGAGGCGGGAGTTCCGCCAGGCAGTGCTTCCACAGGCCCTGAAGGTCTGAAAGACCTCAGAGAAGAGCAGGTGAAACAGGAATCCATACAAGCGAAGAAAAGCTCAAGTCTCGTGGATATCAGAGAGGAAGAGTCGGAGGCAGGGAGTCGAAGACTCTCCCTCCCAGGACTGTTGTCGCAAGGTAACGCATGGGTGTATTGACTTCCAGTGACCCTCGGGCTCCCAACACCACATGCTGTGTTATTATAGCAAATTAGTTTTCCTGGTGATCAAAGCTGGCATATTTTGATTTTGAAGTTTCTGTGATGGTGGTTTACTAAAATGGTAGCTTTTAAGCGAAAGCTACAGGTTTCTCAGCTTCGGAAATAGTTACAGAATATAACTCCATTTTTCAATGACTTTATTTAAAGTTTGCCATGGTACCAAATTGATGTATAAGATTTACTTCATGTTTCATATTGTTTTCAACACCCTGAAAGCGAGTAACATTTTTTTCAAGTTAACCCAGCAAGGCAAAGTGACTCACACCTCTAATCCTAGCACTCTGGAGGGAAAAACAGGCAGAGTCCTGTGAGTTTGAAGATAGCCTGGTCTACATAGTGCATTTCAGAACAGCCAGGACCACATAGTGAGACCCTATCTCAAAACAAACAAACAACAACAAAACAAGGAAAAATAAAAAAACAAAATGGTAGCCAGTACTCTTAACTGCTGAGCTGTCTCTTCAGCCCCTGTGAAAGATTTTGATCCCCTTTTAAAGCTTTCTTCCTATCATAGAAGTTAAAATTTTTATGTCTTGGAAATTAATTCTTTATTACAGCTGTTACATACTTGCAATAAAAACTTGGCTTGGAAAGCATTAATCTTTATGTTTTGAAATAGGGAAGGTATTTGTCAAACTTGTAGTATTTTTTTTCTTTATAATATTCTGTTTGTTTGTTTGTTCATTTTCTTGAGCCAGGGTCTTACACTGTAGCCCAGGCTGGCCTGGAACACTGTATAGTTCAGGATGGGCCAGGCTCTCAGCAGTCCTCCTGCCTCAGCAGGCAATACAATCATGAGCTAGGACACCCATTTGTTTAGCAAATTCTTTACAATGTAAGAAGTTCTGTAGGATGTTTATAAATGTTATATGGAGAAGGGGTCTGCAGCCAAATGGTTGGCCATGTGACAGATTAAATGTTTAAATAGGCTTCTAATTGCAGGTCTTATGAGACTGGGCAGGTAGGAATGGCAGTATACAGAGTAATAGGGAGTATTTCTCAAACTCATTTGACCAGCAAAAAGCCACTTTTGCAAAGTATTTGTGCTTTACAAATACTGTGTTAGTGTCTTGATTTAGAATGTTTCACTGTTAGAGCTCTGTATCTTCTCCTTTGCTTCCCTGCTCCTTTACTCCTCCTCCTGTTTATTTACAGTTTCCCCCAGGCTCCTAAGGAAGGCCGCAAGGGCAAAAACTCGGACAGTGGTTCTGACTCCTACATACAGCGGAGAAGCAGACGCCCTCCTGCCTTCCCTGAGAACAGAGGTGTGGACCTGGGGGAAAGGCAAGGAGGGGCAGCTGGGCCATGGAGATGTGCTGCCCAGGTGAGTGCCACCAGCGGTTACTGATGGGGATCCTTAGGCAAAAACTTTTTCTTGAGGTTTCCACACATCTGTTTCCTTCAGCCACAGATTGCTGTGTACTGTTAGTGCTGATAAAAAGCTGTCCCCTCATTCCCCAGTGCCTAACAGCACAGGGCAGGAGGCTGGACATGGGAGCACATGCCTTTAATTCTAGCACTCCAGAGAGAGGGATAGGGAGGGGGCACATGGTTCTCTGAGTTCGAAGCCAGTATGGTCTACTCCAGGAGTTCTAGGGCAGCTAGAGCTCATAGAGAGACTGTATCTCAAAACAAATAGCAAAAACCAGTAAAGGATTGGAGTCTCCATGTACACTTGTCCATGTCTGTTTTGATGTTTGTTTATCTTGGAATGCAGAAAACGATGTTAAGGATAAGGTGGTATTTCAGTGAAACATTTGAATAGCTACATTTTAACTTACAAAGAGGAGCCAACAGGTTTCTGATGCCAAAAGATGGTTTATGCTCCTTAAAATATCTAATCACTAAAGCATTAAAATCCATGTACATCAGGAAAAACTGTCATTTTGCTTAATAGGCATCCTCAGACTATTAACATGCCTGATTTAAGAAGCTTGAAGATGTGTAATGACTGTTTGTCTAAAGCAATGGGCTAACCTGTCTCTTAACAGAGTGAAGGGACCTGAAATAAAAAAACTGCCTTGCTTTTCCCTACGGTCCTCTCGGTCTACTGAGTCATTCATAGTTTTACAGTTTTTATATTTCTATTTATTTTTATAGGAGATAGGGTTGTACTGGGTGTCCTGGACTGTGCTTGCATTTTCAGTGATTCCCCCTATCTCCAGGTACTGGGATTTAGGCCTGTGCACCACTCCCAGCTCACTTTTATTGTTCCTAACAGATTCTGAATTTCAGAGGTTAATTGGTGATGCTAGACAACCTGGCAAGCAAAAACTAACAATAATTAGGTACAATATTTAGAAGTAGTTTAAGAATATGTTCACTATTTTTGACATTTTCCTTTTGTTTAGCAGCACTGGCTGTTTAATTTGAGAAAGTCCTTGATTCTCACTGAAAATTCTTTGATTTTACGTGTGTGTGTGTGTGTTTGTTTTCTTTAAGGCTTCAGCCATTGTGTGTCAAGTGTCTGGATGGTAAGGAGGTGATCCACCTGGAGGCAGGTGGCTCCCACTCTCTTGCACTTACTGCGAAATCTCAGGTAAGAGGCAAACGAGTGCTGCTCCTGTTCTGATGGGAAGCTGGTTCAGTCAGGTGTCTCCGAGCAACTGCATGGCAGGCAGCACCGCCTGTCTCCTCTGAGCTGTTAGGTTTCACAGGGTGGGATTTCCATTTTATAGAGAGGGAGAGAGCAAGAAAAAGTATCCAGCTTGTCTAAAAGGCGTTCGTCTGGCTGGAGTAGAGCTTTGATTTAAACGTCCTGCCAGACCAGGACCCTTCTTAAACATGCTCTTCTGGACGAGGAGCGCAAGTCTGCAGGCAGCAGCAGATGAAGACCATTCTTAGTGTGATGCTAACCAAACAAGCCGTTTTTCTTCTGAAATCCAATGCATGCCAGAACCCCAAGAAAAGAAAAATATGGTAAGGTGTAAAGCTTTCATTTGAACAGAAATACCTGTACTCTAGAAACGGACCCACGTTATGAGTCTTTTGGTTGTCATCAAGACAGCTATGTCATAACAGTTTAGGAAACAAGACCAAGTATTCGGTAAATGCTCTCGGAGTTAGTGGCTTCTAATTTGTAAGGGCAAAATTAGAACTTTGTATATTCCATTTTTAAGTGGAGCAGAGGCTTAAAAAAACAATACTCATGTAATCCTATAAGATATTCATTACTGTCACTCTCATGTAAGGCAATAGAAAATATAACCATATTAATGTTTCAATACCCTGAAAAGAAAAGAAAACAGAATCTTATGTGTTTAAGAACAAATATTAGGTGATTTTTTTTTCCCCTCAGAAACCTTAGAAGTAGAAGAAAAAAAATACTTGACACAATTACAACAAAAATATATTTATCTCCATAATAATCCATCAGTCCTAACCAGCAACTATCAACAGGCCAACCAACCGTGGGGCTGAGGTTTGGCTCAGTGGGCAGAGTGTTTGTGTAGCCCACACGAGGCGAGGCCCTTGGTTCCACCTCCCACACACAAACTAGGCCTAGTGGCCATACTTGCCAGCCAGCACTCAGGACACAGAGAGGAGGGGTGGAGACTCCAAGACCACCTTTTGTACATAGCAGGGCTGGAGGGATGGAGAGAGGCCAGCAGGGATGCTTGTCCTCACACCTGAAACTGGAGTTCCTCTGGATCGCGCATACAGTATCAGGAGAGAATGACTCCTCAAGTTGTCCTTGGACTGCACGTGTTCACCTGCTGTGTGTCCACAGACCGTAAAACAAGCGGGAAGATTTAAATAGAGTGGCAGTGACAAAAGATAGTTTAACAAACACATTTAAAACTACTTTCTCCTCATAGATGACATTGCATTTATTTTCCAGTGCTATTTCAGACACAGGAACAAGCAATAATGGCAGAAATCTAAGTGGGATCTCGCTGGAAGATGTGCATATTCATTGACTCAGAATTCTTTACTTGGGAATTTCCTAATTAACTAGATGCGCATCTGTCTATAAATTCCCATAGTCGAGGATATAAAAATCTATCATCATCATCATTATTACTGTGTGTCTGTACAGTGTAGACGGGATGCCTGTGTAATGCGTGTGTGGCAGGGTATGTGTGTGACGTGTGTGAGGTGTCTGCATAATGTGTGATCTGTGTGCTGGTTATTTATGCGTGATGTAGAATGGGCGTGGCGTGTGTCCGTGTAGTGTGTGAGTGTCTGTATGATGATGTGTGTGGGGACATATGTTTTTATGATAACGTGTGTATAGGTATGATATATGTGGGGTGTCTGTGTATAATATGTGATGTGGGTGTGCGTGCATGAAGTGTGGGGTATCTGTGTCTATGTGGCTGTATGTGTATGAGGTGAGGGCATCTATTATGTGGGGGGTGTCTGTATGTGTGGGCATGTGATGTGGGGCTTTTCACATGCTACAGCATATGTGGTAGTCATTCGACCTGCTCTGTGGAGCTGGTTCTCTCCTCCTTTCCTTGGCTTCCTCGGGGTGGAACTCACGTTGCTAAGCTTTGCCATGTCAAGCTCTTTTCCTTGATGAGCTGTCTTGCTGGCCCTATTCGAGGATTTATGCTAGCTCACTAATAATTCCGTTATTTAGCCAAGGTCTACCTATAACGGAGTTTTGTGTTAGATACAATGAAGTTTTATATTGAGAATGATGCTGTTGTCTCGTTGATTTGTTTAATTTTCTTGGAGCGGAGTCTCTGCAGCCCACGTTGCTTTTCACTCAGCAGTCTTGCTGCCTCAGCCTCCAGTGCTGGCTACAGGTGTGAACTGTCAGAAATGTCACAGACTGCCTGTACTGTCAGTACCCGGGACACGGGGCCGAACCGCCCGCACTGAGGAGGCAGTGATCATTTCTTAAATATATAGGTTCTGTTTTGTTTTCTATCCTATTAACACACACTTTACACAATAATGGATCTTAGGACAGATTCATTGTACAAAATGTATTGCTCCCACTCCCTGTTAATTTCCTCCCTCTTCCCAACTAATCCCCCTTCTACTTTCACATGCATACATGCATACATGCATGCATACACACATACATACATCGTACTGTTTCCGGAGCACATGCGCCTTACCATTGGCTATGCCACTGAAGAAAAGGTGTCTGTGCTGTGTGTATGTGAAGTATTTCATGAATCTTGTGCAGGTAGACATCCTCCCGCAGCCTCCTTCCTGTGTTAGGGTTATATAAGCTTGTCCTGCCATGCCAGGGTTCATTTCGGTTTTCTTCTTTTTCTTCTCACCCTCTTTCCTCTTTCTTCCTTCTTTTGAAATGGGATGATGCAGGCTCCTGTGTAGCCCAGGCTGGCTGTACTGACAGTCTAGCTCAGATTAGGAGCTTCTCCCACCTCATCCTCCCGAGTGCTGGGGTTTCAGGGCTGAGTCGCTGTGTCCAGCTAGGATTTGTTATTTTAAAGACTGGCAATTGGTATGACTAGTTTCTGTGATTATAGGTGATTGGATTCTTATAAACGCTCAGAGTTAACATGCAGGGTCAAATTCACATCTTAGGTTCTCTCCTGTTGTTCCTGACAGGTTTACTCGTGGGGTAGCAATACCTTTGGTCAACTCGGGCATTCTGACTTCCCGACCACAGTTCCTCGGCTCTCGAAGGTACTTCTGTAAACTTAATAGCAAAATATTCTGGAATTCTGTGCTATAGTACTTTATATGTTTATCAACATCGCTTTGTAGCCAAATTTAGTTTATAAGTATAATTTTCCTAAAAATTTTTGATTTTTTTTAAAAAGGTTTTATAACATGAAGCCACTCCTTTTCAAGCTAAATGTAATCTTTAAAAATGTTTTTACCTCATAGCTTTAAATGTTCATTGAATATTTATAGTACCTCTGTCTTTTTTTAGCAAAAAGAAAGAAAGAAATGTGCCTCTTTTTAAGCAAACTTTTAATTCTTTGGTGTGCTCTGGTTTATAGACTATCAAATAATGTCTACTCTGGCTTCTCTCTTAAACTCCATTTTGACAAAGCATAATTCTCTGATGTCATACGTGTTTATTTTATAGCTACATCACAGTAGACCTTTTGTTAGCCCCTTTTCTGAAGTGAGTTTAGATGACTCGTGTACAGGTTGGTTCTCACTTATGTCACGCTGTTGAGAGAGTATTAGTGTCTAGTCCCTTCTGTTTCATTCTAGATTCTCGTTTCCCGACCTTTCCCTGCTTTAACACCTTGAAACAATGCCAGCATGCAACCAGTAGTGCTGGTTCCTGCTATGGTGTTTACAGGCAGATGGTGCACACATCAGCATGGGATACAGTACTGGTGTTGCCTTTCCCAGCCCAAGACAGACCCCATGAGGGGGATAGCTGCCTTAATTCTGGGAACATGGTTCAGATGTAAACTGTAGCCAATAAACAACAGAGAATGCATGCATCGCTGCCTAGGATCCACAGTGCGGCCCTTCCTTCAGTGAGCCTAATTCTACTTGAGCAAAAAGACTGAAGAAAACATTGGGGAGTGTTAAGGAGTTACTGCTTCTAGTTTTAGTGGTAAATATTTTCTCTTTGAATTAGAAAAAATGTTTAATTATGTTGTGTGGGTGCCCACAGAAGCCAGTAGGGGCATCTGAGCTCCCGGAGCATAGTGACAGGTGACTGAGCTGCCTGACATGGTGCTGGAAACGCAGGTCGCCTTCACGTGCTGAGCACATCCTCTTAGCTGCCGAGCTATCTTTCCATATAACATTTTCTCAGTGTGTCACTTTAACACAAAGATTCACTGCTCCTTGCTACCTAAAAAATAAATAAATAAATAAATAGATAGATAGATAGATAGATAGATAGATAGATAGATAGATAGATAAATAAATAAAATAGAAAGTGTCCTTACTCATATGAGGGAAAGGTTTTTGGAACCAGACCTGGTGGCACAAGCTTGCAATCCCAGTTCCTGGGAAGGTTGAGGCCAAAGGGTTGAAAATCAAGTTCTGCCTGGGCTACAGAGTAAGTTCCAGGCCAACCTGGACAGAAAGTTTCAAAAAGGACTCCAGAAAGGGGTGGGGCTCAAAATCATTGTTGGAATAGTCAAGGATGGAGTGTGAGGAGGCAGGGTCCATCCCCAGCACAAACAAATAGAGCCGGAAGGAACCCTTCCCGAGGGAAATGCTGTAGTGTGCAGTCAGAGAACCTGCAGTCCACTTGCACTCACCCTTTAGCGCCGTGGGATTTATTGTGAGGTCAGTCCCAGAACTCCGCATACAAACTACAGCACTCTTTTTTCTGTTCTTCTTTTGTTCTGTTTTTATTTGGAATTGTTTTTTTTTTTTTTTTTTTTTGTTTCTTGTGGTCTAGAAAGGAGACCTAAGGCTTTCCATGTTGTAGGCAAGACCTCCAACTCTGAGCCCCACCACAAGCACAGCCACACCCTGAGCAGATGATTTTGAAATCATCTTAGTTAATCTATGAAAGCTGAAAGTCTAGTGAGATTTGATTTAGGGTTTTGATTTGATTTGATTTTTTGAGACATACTCTCATAAAGCCCAGGCTGGCCTTAAATTCATTATCCTCTTGCTTCATCCTCCAGACTGCTGGCATTACTATTGGTGTGTGCCACCATGCCCAGTTCCAAAATTGGGTTTGCTTTGTTTTAAAATGTTGTTTACTGGCATTGAACTCAGGTCATCAGGCTTTAGAAGCAAGCACCTTTGTCCTCTGAGCCATTACACAGGCCTGCTTCTGTAAGTCTCTTTAAAAATCAATTATTTTATGTGTACGAATGTTTTGCTGGCATGTACATAAATGCATACTCAGATCCTCCGGAACTGGAGTTACAGATGAACGTCAACCATCATTCGGGTTCTGAGTCTTTGACCCTGGGTCTTCTGCAAAAGCAACACGTGCTCTTAACAGCTGAGTCATCTCTCCAGCTGCCTTATTTTGAATTTATTTCGATTGGAAATGTGTAGTGAACACCTGCTGGCTTGTCGGACGTGGCTGGACTTGGCAGTATAGCCCTGAAATCCTGGCACTCAGGAATTAAGAGGCATTTAAGGCCAGGCTACGCCACATGCCAGAGACCCTGTCTCAGGCACACAGACTAGGTAAATGCTTTGATTCATTCTTCTCGCTGGAAATTGATTGTTTGGATGGCTTGATTTTTGAGAACAGAGGACCATGTCAAAAGAAGGTGGCTGAGAAGTTAAGTGGCGGAAATGCTCACATGCGCATGCACGGGCATACGCGCACACACACACACACACACACACACGGGCATGCACACACACACAGTCATCTGATGTGTAAGCCTGGCTAGATGCAAAGGACCTCTCCATTAGGAGTATGTTTGCCTGCGTAGAACTTGAAGGAAGCTGGAGGCTGGGGCAGTATTCTGCTGTAGCACACTTTCTTAATGAATCTTCTGAGGAATGCTGTGCATCAGACAGGACAATGGGGAGTAATATTAAGTGCTAGATTGCAGGGTACCCAGAGCCCTGGTTACTACCTTTTGATGGAAGCTCCTAGATCACTCTGAGGAATCCTAAGGGTTGAAAACCAGCAGTTTACAGCTTGGATCTCAAGCATTTGCATTTGTCAGAGTCACCTGAAGGGCCTGTTAAGACAGCAAGCCAGTTCCCTCCTGGGCAGTCTGTGGCTGAGAGTTTTTGCTTCTAACACGTTTCCAGGTGATGCTCCTGCTGCTGGTGCAAAGACCACTCTGTGGGAGCCTAGGTCCCCGTAGCTGGCTTCTCAGGGGCCTGCCTGTCTCAGCATCCTGGGAGCTGGCACACTGAAGTCGAATTAGAGAGGCAGTGAGTTACAAGAGGGAAACTGAATCTCAGCACCCACGCCTTAGCTGGCAATGTCAGGATCTAGTCTTACTGTCACACGGCCGAATGTGGAGGGCAGTGGTGCAGTCTAGGTGTTAGTGTTAGAGCCGGGCCTAACTCACTGTGCAATAGGCTGTGTATGGAGACCTACAAAAATAACATTAAAAGCTAAGAGCTATATGCTTTATTCTTTCCACATTCCACTTTTCAAGATTTTTATAAAAGTCCAATTCAAGTTTAAACACTGCACAGTAGGTCTTTTTTACGTCTCTGTTCTGTAGTAATTGTGTACATTGCTGGGTGAGGTTCGTTCTTAAAGGTGTGGCTGACTGCCCCGTGCCTGATTAAGTCATCTGTTCTGTTCCATACAACCTGAGTTCTCAGGCGGCTTGGACAGACAGTATTATTCTGTCGTTTCAGGTTAGCAGTGAGAATGGAGTCTGGAGTGTAGCTGCAGGCCAGGATTATTCCTTGTTTTTAGTGGACACTGAAGACTTCCAGCCTGGCTTGTATTACAGTGGCCGACAGGACCCTGCAGAAGGTGACACCCTGCCAGAGAACCCCAGTGGCACAAAGACTCCAGTACTTCTCTCCTGTAGTAAGGTGAGTCTTTGAATATTGCTGTGACTATAAGTGTGCCTGGTTTGATTAAGAACTCTGACTACTTTATTTAAAACGCCTCTCATTCTTCCCTTCTCCTCTCCTTTTCCTGCTTTATTCTCCCCACATGACCTATCACCATGTAATATGCTGTGTGACGTTCTTGTCTGTTGTCTGCCCTACTGTAATGTGGGGCTCATGAGGGCAGGGCTTTTTGACGCCTCCATTCATCGATGTGTCTGCATAGGACATATGTTGTTTTCCTTATCTTTTTGAGGCAAGGTCTTGATAAGCCTGCAGCGCAGGCTGGCCTGGAACTCGCTGTGCTGACCTCCTGCCTCTTTCTCCCGAGTAACTGGGATTACCAGTGTGTGCCATCATGTTCCAGCATGATGCATACCTTATAAGCTGTTGAGGCAGCAGCGCTCTCATGGAGGAGTACTGTGCCTACGCCTTCTGTTTGCCTGCTTTTGTCTTGTGAGGCTGGGCTCAGGGCTTTGTCCCAACATGGGGGCTTTGTGTGCACTGGACAAGAACTCTCCCATTGAGCTCACCAACCCCCACCCCGAGCTGTTTTTCTTTCATTTCTCTTTGGGATGCTGGTCTTGGAAGCTAGTCATGCAGGAGAATTGAAAAGCACCGTTCACAGGGAAGTCTCCTGGAGCCCTCAGCTGAATTGTAACCGAAGGATATTTAACTGTTGGTGGACAGTGGTAACATGAGGGTCCTGAGCTGTATTCACAGAGAAGGTCCCAACAAGTCACTGGCAGGGCCTACCTCGACCCCTGCTTCCTTGGCTTTTCATTTCTGTCACCTTTGCTGCTTCTCTCTCTTTTGAAGATCTAAATGCCTGCTTTTCTAATTCCTGCCTTGTTTTTTTATGTACTTCAACCATTAGCTTGTTTTCACTTTTCCCCCTGGTAAAGTAACTCACATTCTCATAGAGACATGTCAAGAGGCAGTATAACCTTTGCTAGTGCATTCTAGATTTCCTGTTCTCATTGAAAAATATGTTTTATGGACTAATAAGCTCTGAATGTACTGAGACAAGACCTTAATTGCCAAAGGCAGCATTGGCCAAGGTTTGTTTCTTGACCTGTATGTAGCTTGCTTGGGGCGTGCTGACTGGCCTTCACAGTAGCTGGCCTGTCACCATGTGCCCTGTGAAAGACTTCAGTCTAGATCAAGGTTGAGTGGGATGAGGCTCTGGTGTGTGTCACCGATTCTCTTGGAGGGTCAATATCCACTGAGTGGCGGCCTGCCTGCTTGGTTTAATAATGAAATGTGAGTAAAGACAAAGTGTTTTTCTTCACAGTAGGAAGGGAAAATGTAAAAAAAACAGTCTCTTTCAGAGAAAAACCTTAGCACAGACTAATTATAGACACTTGTGGGTTACAAGTGACACTCCACACATATGTCCAATAGGTAGTGACCACATCAGGGTAAGTGGCGTGTCCATCACCTCAGACATTCTCTTTGTGATGGGAACATTCAGAATCCTTTTCTACTGGCTATGTTGAGATAGTCAACTAATTCTTTTGTTTGTTTGTTGTGTGTGTGAGAGACAGAGACAGAGAGACAGGGTCTCTCTACACAGCCCTGGTTGTCCTGGAACTCACTATGTACATTCCCCTGCCTCAGTTTCCCAAGTGCTTGGATTAAAGGCATGTGCCACCATGCCTGGCTTTTCAACTGATTATTGTCATCATTTTTTTAATAGCACTTACCCTATTTCCCTCAACATTAGACATTTTCTTCCTTCTTTCCAGTTGTATCTGTATCCACTGATGTCCCCCCTGGTTCCACTCCCTTTGGTAACCACTGCTATTTTCTCAGTAGTTTCTTATGTGAGGTCATGCTTTGTGTTTTTGTGTCTGACTTTTTTACTTTCTGCCCCTTGGTCCCACCCATGTTGCAACAAATATCAAAAGTTTTCTTTCGTGGCTGAATGGGGTTCTGTTATACCCACATTTCTTATTTCCTTTATGCATTTTTCTGCCAGAGGACACCTGTGTAGTTCTGTGTCTTGCCTTTTGTGAGGAGCATGTGGGACTACAGATGTCATCTTGACATACTGATTTTAGCTCCTTTGGAACTGTTCTGAGTAGTGAGTGGGGTTGCTGGATTCCTTTTCTAGGTTTATTTGTTTGAGGGCCTGCCATTCTGTTTTCATTGCTAGCCATACTAATTTACATTCCTATCTACAAGGCACAGGAATCCGTCCTTCCTCATGTCCTTGTAAGCACTTAATTTTTTTGTTTTTGGTAATAGCTGTCCTGAGTGCTGCTATTGGCCGTTTGAGTATCCTCTTTGAGAAATTCTGCTTTAGGGCAGTTTTCCACTTTTCGATTGGATTGTTGAGATATTTTGCTACCGAGATTTTTCAGTTCCTCTTATACTCTGGATATTACCTCTTCATTGGATGAATAGTCCAAAGGCATTTTCTCCCAATCTGTAGATTGTGTTTTCATTTTACTTCTCCCCCTCCTGGAAGTTTTTAGTAGAATGCAGTCTCATTTGATAGATTTTTTTTTTTTTCTGTTTGTATTTTAGTTTGCACAGGCCAATATCCTGAAGCAATTTCCCTTACTTTGTTTTTTTGTTTTTTTTTTTTTTTTACTTTAATTTGTGAAATAAAGTCTCATATAGCCAAGGCTAACCTCAATTTGATCCTCTGACTGAAACTGCATGTTTGTGCCACCACACCCGCTCTCTCTCGCTCTCCTTTCTCTTTAATGCAAAGTCTCACACTGTTACCCAGACTAACCTAGAACTCTCTCTGTAGCCAGGATGGCTTGAACTCCCAGCATTCCTTCAGCTTCAGCCCTGTGCATAGGCTCTTGGTATAAAATAAGGCTTCTCTTTGTTCTCACTAATATTATTTCATGTAAAGTGAATCTTGAGATGTATAACTCTTTTTTTGAGACAGGGTTTCTTTGTGTAGCCCTGGCTGGCTGTCCTAGAACTTACTCTATAGACCAGGCTGGCCTTGAACTCACAGAGATCTGCCTGCCATTGCCTCTGGTGTCCTGGGATTAAAGGTATCACAGCCTGATCCTAAGATGTATAGCTCTTATCATTTGGGTCTTTGTATGTCTGAGGTATCTTGGAGATAAGTACAAGTAGGTATATACACAGTTATTCAAAATTAACAGTGGTGTGTGAATACACCAACTCCAAATAAATGAAAAGCACTCTGATATGCATTCTTTGTAAATACTCACTTATAAGCTATTGCTACCAACTCCTGGGTATCTTAACCTTTGGCTCCTGTGTGCCACTATGAGCCCATGCAACATACCAAGTGGATCATAAATGGTATTTGAGCTTTAATCTTTTTATTTCCCCCCTTTTAGCTTGGATATATAAGCAGAGTAGCAGCAGGAAAAGATAGCTACCTAGCCTTGGTGGACAAAAACATCATGGGGTATATCGCCAGTCTCCACGAGTTGGCTACCACGGAAAGACGGCTTTACTCAAAACTGAGTGAAATCAAATCACAGATACTTAGGCCGCTTCTCGGTTTAGGTAAGTTGATACCTTGCACCACCCACATCCCCAGATCATCAGGGATCTCACTTTTAGTTGTTCTTCCTGTATTGTCCAGAAGCTGTGTATTTGTGTCGTAGATAGCCCAGGTTGGGCCCAACTTACTAGGTAGCTGAGGAAGATCTTGAACTCTTAATCCTTTTGCCTCCACCACCCAGTTGTTGAGATTCCAAGTGTGAGCTACCATGCCTGCTGTTGTTTGTTTTTTAAGGCCCAGGCTGACCTCAAACTTCTGGGTTCAAACAATCCTCCTACCTCAGTCTCACCATTACCTGGCACTAGAGCATGTGCCACTGTGCCTTGCTTTAAGAAGCTGTTTATGTTAATGGTTTATTCCTTCCCTTCCCCTCCTTCCTTTCTTCTCTTTCCCTCCCTCTCTCAGCAAATCACATACTGTTTGCAGTTCTTCAGGAGCCTGACTACCACAACCCTGTCTTCACATTCCCCGAGTTTCTTCTTCCTACACTGGAGCTTTAGGAAGATGTGGCCAAAGAGAAAAGTATGTTCTTTGGGAAAGTTGTCCCTAGAAGCTGGACTTGAGCAGTGCTTCTACATCCCAGTCCTCAGATATTGTAGAACTTCCACATTTTTTTCCTTGCCTTTTCGAACACTTAGAATTGTGTCATTTATATATATGGATGAATTAACCAAACATTTATTCAGCCACGGAGAGGAGTTGGAAGTGAGGCATTTCTCATAGTCCTCAGTGGGCTGCCCCTATCTGTGTGCCCAAGGTATCTAGGACATTAGCAAGGACTACAGAATTAGGAATGGGGGCTGGTAAAATGAGCTGGGCTGCACGGTAAGACCCTGTCTCGGAAGCAACCCCCTCATCAGGCAAGATAGCCTTGCCCTGTCCTTCCAGTTTTCCTGCTTTGGCCCTGTACTCAGAAAACAAAGATAGGATTTTCTCTTTTTCTCTTATTCCCTGGCTACTGTTAGGGCTCAGGATTTGGGCTAACAGTCTAGCTCATCAGTTTTACCCTTGGAAGAAAAGTAAGCTTGTGTGGCTAGCTCATTGTTTCTAATGGAAAAACCCTACTTTAAACCGCTAACTTGGCAATTTGTTTTCATTTATTTGGATTTTGTTTGTTTTTTTAAGTTTTGAGTTAGGTCTGGTGTAGTTTCTACACCAGCTAGCTCATTGTGGCTACTTATGGTTTCTAATGGAAAAACCCTACTTTACACAGCTAACTTGGCAATTTGTTTTCATTTATTTGGATTTTGTTTGTTTTTTTAAGTTTTGAGTTAGGTCTGGTGTAGTCCTGGTTAGCCTTTAACTCCTATGCCTGAACTCCCATTTCTCATTCCTTCCCCCTAAATACTTCAGTTACAAGCTTGGCCCGTCACTCCTGATTAATTAAACCATATTTGGGAATATAGTTCCTATGTGATTTGAGGATTTGTGTTTGGTTTCAGTCTGGTTTTCTTTGTAAGGATTGTGGAGCCCCTATTGTATAACATCTCCTCCCTAGGATGGGCTCAGAATCACAGGAGACGGAATCAACGGGGCTTCCTGGGTTGCCTTGTGGGAAAGTGGGGTCTGTTGTCTGACCAGGTCTTGGTTTCTCTGTTAGCCTGCTTGTTCCCCTCCTCGCCCTCATTGATAGTAATAAAGAACTTCAGGCTGGGAAAGGCAGGTAATCTGCTGGTGCCAAGAGTGACTCAGGCCACCTGAAGCTTAGGTCACCGTGCGCCGAAGAGTTGGGCTTGTCCAGGGGCCAAGGGGAGCAGCAGCCAGTGCAGAAAGTTCAAAATGCTAGCTAAGAGCTAAGTCTGAGCTGGGGTTAGCTCAGCTGCTAGAGTGTTTACCTGGCATGCTCAAGGTCAGTTCCAGTACTGCATAAGCACGACATGGTAGCATGCACCTGCCTTAGCTCTCAGGAGGAGGAAACAGGACAGGAAAGTTCAGAGTTATCCCGGGTTAGCAGAAGACCTTGTCTCAAAAAAAGAAAAATACCTATTTGTGGAAATGAATTTAATGCCTGTCTGCTACCCTCTTACCATTGTATCAAATTAAATAATTCATTTCCCTCTCTTTGTCTTACATTATCTATTTTCAAAATTTAACAGTGGGTCTCTAGTTTGACTGATATATTAAAAAAAAAAAATCACCGGGGAAACTTTTAAAAGAAATATCCGTTGTGAGATGGTAATACCAGACCTACTGAATCAGAGAGCTGACAGTTCGCATCGACGAGGTTGTGAATGTGGCTAATGTACATGTGTGTGTAGGTGTGTGTCTGTGGCCTGTGTGCTGGCCCACTGAAGAGCACTGGGTTCTTCTCTGTTGCTGCCTACCTTCTTCCTTTGATTCAGGGTTTTGAAGTGAACCTGGAGCTCAGCAATTTTTGTCTAGGCTGGTGGTAGCAAGCCCTGAGGCCCTCCTGTCTCCCAATATCCATTTCCCACTTGAGGACACAGGCCAGATCTTCCTTCTGGCATAGCATGTACTTTTACCTACTGAGACACCTCAGGGATTTCTGAGTTGTTTTTTGTAACATTTTTTTTTTTTGGAAGTGATTTGAATTCCATAGATTGGAAAGAGTAAGTACCCCCAGAAAAGAGAAAGTCAGAAGAAAGCATTTGGTTTTCACATTATCATTTTGTTGCAGAAAATTTGGGCACTGTGACTACTGTCCAGCTGTTGCAGGAAGTTGCAAGCCGATTCAGCAAGTTGTGTTACCTCATTGGGCAGCATGGAGCCTCACTGAGCAGCTTTCTGCAGGGAGTGAAGGAAGCCAAGAGCCTGGTCCTCATGAAGCACTCAAGTCTTTTCTTGGACAGTTACACAGAGCAAGTATCAGTCCCGTGTCATGTTCAGTCTCAGCAAGGTGATTCTGCAAGGGGAGCTGCTCCTCCATCAGAGAGGACAGGGAGAATAGTACAGGCAATAAACCAAAAGGCGGCTGTAGCTCTGCAGTGCTGAAGTTAAGTCTTCTTTAGGTGGAAAAGGTTTGCAACAGTGACTTCTCATATTCCCTTCCATATCCAACAAAGAGTGATAGCATACTTTATATACAATGTCCTGTCCTGTCTGGTTATTTTGTTTACTTCGTAAATCCTACCAAAATAGGGGGAAATAAAGAACAAAGTGATTTAAAGAGCAGCTGTAAGTGTGAAGCTGTTCTGAGCCTGTGTTTCACTGCTGTGTGATGGGACATTAGCTACATTTAACATATTTTCTCAGTAATGCCAAGAATGGGTATCCAATGTTCTTCCATGTTTTGTAAGTAAAACATACCAAGTCTATTTGTAAACTTAAACTGTTTTTCACTTTTTCTTGATTGGTATTTTGCTATCATGATTCAAGGCGTTAAGTGTTATTTTAATGTAGACCAGGTGACACTGTTGATCTGAAGTTTGTTGTTTTGACATGTAGTTTATTCTCCATTCGTCCAACGGAAAGTGACTGAGTGCCACCAAGTGCCAGGCACTGCAGAGAGTTACAGCTTGGGGCCAGTGAGAGACACCTGTTGCTAGGGAGTTCCTGTCATGCCTGTATTTTCCTTGGGTTATTTATAACCCAAGGACAAATGTGTGGTCATTATCAAAGCTGCAGGCAGTGCTAATCAAAAGGATATTTAAAGACGCCCTTTCCCCACCCGTTGAAATAACCTGCAATCATTTTAGTGTTTCCCTTTCAGGCTTTGCATGTAAGTGACTTCAACCCCAGACAAACTAAATATATTGGAAACTCCTATCTAGGAAGAAATAGCTTTGCTTTACTCTTCTAACTCATCCAGCATGAAAAATGATAGCACTTGACAGTTCTTTATTTTAAAAATTAGATCTTGCTATTTGTGTGAAAGTTGCAGCTTTTATTAATGGAATTTCCCTTTTCGTCTTGTATTTACCACCATACCTTCATTTCTTTTTCTGTCACTGTTACTCATGGTCTTTTGCTGTAAGATGAAACTTGTGATGCCATGGGCTACTGTTTAAAATGTAACAGTTATTCCTATAGGTAGGATAAATAAAACTAATTTACATTTTTAAAGTCTCTACCCCATGACTGCTTTTTGGTAAGAATTTCCTTTCTCTGTCAGCATCAAATGCTTGCTAGCTCAGGAATATGAAAGGAGTGTTTCTGCTCAGAGTAGTTTGTCTACATTTGCTTCAGAACACTGGGGCTATTTAATCAGCATGTTCTAATAGTGATCTTGCTCTGCCCCAGAAGTGTTTTCTTAACCTTCACATTCATTTTCTGAAGTCTTAATTGGACATTTAAAATGAAGAGTAAATTTTCATTAAAATCCTGCAATTTCACCCATGTTTTCTCCAGCTCGTTAGGTTAGCAAGTGCCACCTGCCAGGCAGGCCTGCACAGCACAAGGTGCTTTTGAAATCCCTTTTCTGTTAACATTCCTACTGACCTTGCATTTATCACTCCCCTGCTGCGTCCATCTACCTGTCCTCTTCTCCAGTGACAAGAGTTCATTAACATTGATGTCATGCAGTTCTGAAATTCGTGAGTAAGATTTCAAAAAGTGTCTAGATCTGCCTTTGAAACTTCACAGAGCTAATTTACACGTCCTCACTAACACCCGTTTGTCTTTTTCTACCGAAGGTACTGCACATCCATTTCAAATTTCCTGGTTATGGGAGGATTCCAGCTTCTTGCCAAGCCTGCCATGTAAGCACTCTGCACCTTCCTCACAGCCTCCTAACAGCCATCCATCAGAGGTTTTGAGTTTTTGTTTTGTTTTCCTGTCTTTTTTTTTTTTTGAGAATTTCATCCAAAATATTTTTATCATATTCCTTGCCTTCCCCAAATATGCCCAGCAATTCCCTCCCAAACCTACCCAACTTCGTGTTTTGTCTTTTAAAAAAACAAAACTAAAAACATGGAGTCTTTTTTTGTTTGTTTGTTCAAATATTTCTGAGCATGAGGCCTACCATGGGATGTGGTTGCTATACCCAGTGTCACACCACTGCAGAAAACTGATTTTTCCTCTCCCAACAGCCAGCTCTTTGTTGCATATAGCTTCTTGGCTAGAGGTATGACTTTCTGTCCGCCTCTCCTTCTTGGTGTTGGGCTTTTGTCTGCTTTGACTCAGTCCAGGTTGTGTGCGTGCCATCACACTCTTGAGTTCATGTGTTTACGAGCCCTGTTATGTCTGGAAGGTGATGTTTCCTTGAAGTCACCGCCTTGGGCTCTTAAAATCTTTCTGCCTCCTCTTCTGCATAGATCCATGGGCCTTGATTAAGATCACACCCCATAGATCCATGGGGTGTGATTAAGATATCCCATTTAGGGATAAGTGCTCCAAAATCTCTTACTCTCTGCACATTGTCCACTTGTGGGTGTCTGTGTTAATTGCCATCTACTGCAAGAAGCAGCTCCTCTGATGAGGGCTGAGCAGTGCACTGGTCAATGAGTATAGCAACGTGTCAGTAGGAGCTGTTTTGTTGCTACGCTCATTTGAGGGACTCAGAGTAGCAGGTTTCTCTTATCTAGCCTCCAGTTCTTATCAGTGACAGTGTCAGATGTGGCTTCCGTCTCATGCAGTAGGCCTTAAATACGAAAAGGGGAAAAGACAGGTCGGTTACCCCACAACATTTGTGCCACTATTGCACCAGTGGGCGTAGCTTGCAGGCCCATCACTATTGTGGCTCACAAAGTTCATAGCTGGTGATTGGTAATTAATTTCTCCTCCAGTAGTGTGTATTACACGTGCCAGCCAGTCAGTGGACTGAAGCTTCCAAGTGGGACAACATCTCAGTTTCTTCTTGTTTGAGGACACGTTTTTCAGCAATAGGGTCTTACTTTCAGGTTTAGAAGGGTAACCAATAACATTGGCGATAGCCTGTAATGCTGAGGGAATCTATAGATCCCTTTGGCCAACAAGTCCAAGAGATGCAACCTAGTCTTGGAACTGGAGTTTTATTTGGTGGCATGATGTCTGGGTAGGGTATTGTCTCCTCCTCTGTATGATAACTCCATTGCAGCTCTTTCTATATATTAGGAAGCTTCTATAGTGATAGGTTTCCATATCGCTTCTCAGAAGGCCTTAGATGTTATGTTACAGTGTAGATATTTGGGGATGCTATGGGAAGGTATTGGCATGGCCATTTACTTATTGAATCGAAGTGCAGAGTTTCATTAACTCTTAACGGCAGGTATTGTTGGTCCCTGGCTGTCTCAGGTGTAGTGGGGTTCTGAAAGAGCACTAAAGTCAAAGGTGCACGACCTGGGTCCTTCTTCAGCACCGCTTCTTGTTGGACCTGACACTTGAGCGGCTCTTTTCGCAGCAGGAAGCTACTTTACTTCCATCTGAAAAATGAGTGTTTTCTCCCCTGTCAGTAAAGAACAGGTAATGTCTGCGATGGTCCAGAAAAATGTATCTCACACAGATAAAAACTACTTGCATCTAGTTTTTAGGTGGATAATATAAAAGCCTCTAACATAACACATTGATATAATAATAAAGGCAAATTGAAAAATTATTTTAGAAGAAAATATTTAAAATATTCACTCACCACCCATACTTAACAGATTTGGCCAGGCTTTTTTTTATTTGTCTGTGCTAACAGGAGTGCTGATATCTTGATCCTACTTCTGGTTTTGTTAATCTAGTCATTCTTTTCTGAACTTAGCCAGTTTTTAGCAAAGAATTGCACTAGAAATTATAAAATGAATTGAGGTTTCTTTCTCTTCTTTCCTGTTTTCTGGAATAGTTTATATGAATCAGGGATTGTCTATATCTTGAAGATTGGGTAGAATGCATCTATGAAAAACTGCCGTTCAACAGCAGTGTTTCCTATGGGGAACTTTCCAACTACTGGTTTGGTTCAGTAAAGAATAGGTCTGTCTGGATCTTATTCCTTATGGCTTTAGTCACTTATTTATTTGGAAAATTGTTCATTTCTTCAGTTTTCAGTTTTGTTACCATTTCTAGTATTGCCTTTTGATGTTTTCATCTCAGAGCTGCAGTTATTCCCTATTTTGTTCATTGCTGTTACTTATTTGAACCTTTTTTATCTTTTATTTGTTTATTTTTGTGAACCAATGAGTTTTATTGGAATTACTTACAGGAATATGGGTAAGGGGTTCCTTACAGGAGCAGAAACGACTCAAAGACAGCTGCATCACCAAAGCCCATCCCAGCGTGGGTGACAGCTCACAAGGCTGGGGAACTGCTGCACCCTGACCCCTGCTGGCAGCTCGACAGGCTGGAGCGCATCCCTTCTAGGTGACCCCTGCCGGCAGCTAGACAGGCTGGAGCGCGTCCCCTCTTCCAGGCAGCTAGCCTGGTCTGAAGAGTCTTCTTTGTAGCTTGCTTTGTTTATTCTTAGGAAGAAGGGGCCTAGAGAATCTTCCTCTTCCCAACTAGTACCCCTCCTCTTTCATGTCTTCTTTCTCTTTTTTTTTTTTTTTTTTTTTGGTAAACCAGTGTTATTGTTAGGGTTGCTTACAGGGTCATGGAGAAGGGTTATTTACCAGGAGCGTGGTTATTTCAGGGCATCATGCCAGTGACTACACCACTGAAGAAAATGCCTCTCCCTTCCTCATTAAATATGAACTTCTCAGAAGTTCTGGGAGGGTGGAGACTCTTGTTTTTTATATCATGAACTTCTGCTGTTTCATTTGTGTTCACCATTCATAAATTTCAGATTCATAAATTTATACAGTTTGGTAATGTTTATTGTTATTAATCGGATAGCCCAGTGTGGCTTTCAGCTTGCTGTGTAGCTAAGGTTCTCCTTAAACTCCTGACCTCTACCTCCTGAACACTGGGATTACAGGTGAGCACCATCACACCTGGTTGTCTTATTCCTGTACGTATAGGTTGCTGGTCAACCTGTGTTGACAGTCGAAGGGAAAGGAAGAACTTAGAAGTATTTAGTTCCATGCTAGTGCTTGGAGCAAGGACCTCTTTTCCTCTGGTGTTTCTGTTCAGCACAGCTTAGCAGAGTGGTCGGACCTGCCAGATTCCTGGGACACTGCACTGTGAAAACGATGTCATTTATCTCCTGAAACTGATGAATGCCTGATTCATTTTGTAGAACACGAGGAAAGGTTGTTACTAACATTTCTATTAGAGTTACCATTGCCACCATTGCTACATCTTGCACTTTAAAGGCCCATTTCATAGGTTTAAAGAAATATAATTCTGTTAATTATTCGTGGCTTATTTTATTATATTCATTTTCCTAACACCTAGGCTGTGTTATAAACAGTTCTGAACAGTTACTGGAGTGAAACTGTCTATGTAATATCATTCGTACTCTTCATACCAGATGATCAGCTGAATCTTTTCCCCTTCTTTTCCAGTGATTTCCTAAATAAAAACCAAGAGCTCTTGCAAGATTTGTCAGAAGTGAATGATGAGAACACTCAGTTGATGGAAATACTGAATACGCTGTTTTTCTTGCCAATCAGACGTCTTCATAATTATGCAAAAGTTTTGCTAAAGCTTGCCACATGCTTTGAAGTGGTAGGTTCTCTTCATGCCCCCTTGAATGCTGGGAAAGCCAAGAATCAAAGTTCATTTGGATTAAGTCACATTACGGTGCTGGGCCACATTAAGTTAATATTTACATGTGTCCACCTAGGATTTCCTTCTCAGTGAGGAAATAGAAGAAGAAAGGCTAAGCAGGCCAGAGCGAGCTTGTTTTTCACGCTGTGGATTTCGTTTCTGCCCAGGCCTTGTTCAGACTCTCTTCACTTTGCAGCTGTCTAAAACAGAGAGCCCACTGTAGGTGCTCCTCCAGTAGTGTCGGCACACACAGCTGAGGCAGTGGGCTGCCAGCTGGCCTGGGTCCTTGGTAGACTCGTGCAGAGAAATGCGATTCCCTTAGTTTGCAGAGAAACTCTAACAAGTGCGAAGTTCTTAAACCTTCACATCTTGGTCTGTCCCCTGATCTAGGCAGACTTCAGACCACAGAGTGGAGGGACTCACAGGAGTTTTCCCATGAGACCCTCTTGTGATCTCGTAGTTTTTTTTCTTTAGTCTGGCTTCAGTTTTAACTTAAAACTGATGTAGTTTTAGCTATCCAAGTTTAAGCCACTGGAAAACAGTGGGCTTCAGACTTCTTCTCAGTCAATGAAGAAAACAATCTTTACTAGATCAGGTTAGAATTGTTTGGGGAAAGGGAGGTGTGGGGATACATGTCTACAATTCCAGCACATGGAAGGCTGAGAGGCAGGAGGATGAAAAAGTTTGAGGCCAGTCTCGGTTTACATAGTGATACCTTATCAAAAAAACAAAACAAAACAAAAATGGTACTGTATCCAGTCTGAGGGCTAATTCTGGGAATGACAAGTCCATTTAGTTTGCCATCAAGTCCCATCCTCTTCTGTCTTTAGTCTTTCCCCTCATCTGATATATTGGTTCTCATCCCAGGGGTCATGTTCATGTGCTTGGTGTGTCCTTCCAGAAACACACCTAACCCTGGTTTTTCAAGACAAGGTTTCTCTGTGTAGCTCTGTCTGTCTTGGAATGCATTCTGTAGACCACGCTGGCTTTGAGTTAAGAGATCCGCCTGCCTCTGCCTCCTGAGTGCTGAGGTTAAAGGTGTGTGCCCCCATTGCCCGTGTTTTGTTTGTTTTTAACTAAAAATTACTGTTATGTGTATGAGTAGTTTGTGTGTATGTGTATGACTGGGAGCTGTGGAAGCCAGAAGGGGAGTCAGAGTCCCTGGAACTGAAGTTACAGATGGCTTGTCTCCAAAAGCTTCTGAATAGACCCTGAGATCCCTTTGAGGGTTCACAAGGTCAGAATATTTTCCTGACATACGAGGACATTTGCTTTTTCTCTGTGATATGTTCATTGGCGCTTTTTCTCTGTGGTATGCGCATTGGTGCTTTTTCTCCAAGATCTGTGCACTGGTAGTGAAAAGCAGAAGCCCCCAGACCCACTGGCTCCTTAGCAAGAACCAAGGCAAGTGACACCACACCACGCAAGCCTCAAACTTGCATTTCAGACCAGACAGTACTACTTTTTCTGAAAAGTGTTGATGATGAACCATATACTATATAGTGTGTTCTAGGCTTCCCTTAACCTTGTGGCAGTCCTTCCTTGTCCAAAGGGCTAAGAGTATATACCTGTCAAACAACTTTTTAGAGCAAAATAGGTGGAGACGTGAATTTGCCATTTTGAGCCTAATAGATTCTCAATACTTAGAATATTTTTTTCTGATGAGAAAGGTGGCAATGTTAATTTTTGGTCTATAAAAGGTATCATCATTTGGAAGGTATATATAATTTAGTCAGTATTTTTCAAATGCTCAAACTACAGTATCACAAAATCATGTAATCAAACCCAAAATAGACTTGTGTATTTTAAAGCATTAAAAATCCCTAAAAGTGCCTTAACTATTTAAATAATAAATGTCATTAAATTTTACTGTAATACAAAAAATTTTAATGACATTATTTACAATTTATTTGTGCTCATGCTAGTGTGTGTATGTGTGCGTGATGTGTGTGCGTGTGTGCGTGTGCGTGCATGTAGAGGTCAGAGGACAATTTGGCAGTTGGTTCTTTAAAAACATGTTGGTTCCAGGGTATCAGGGTTGGGCTGCAAGTACCTTTACCCACTGAGCCATCATTTATCTCATCAGCTCAACTAGTAGATTTAATAGAACAGTATAAAGCATTGATTGCCAATGTTTCAGATTATAGATTGCAACTGCCCTTTAGGAAGCTGCTGCTTAATAAGTTTTTAAAATATACACCAGAGGAGAGTATCCACAGTTCTGTGAAGTGGCTGTTAAGACACTCCATTTTAAACTAGTTATTTTTATAAAGTAAAATTTTCTATGTTTATTTCATCTAAGCAGTATAACATAATAGGTTAGAAGCAAAAACCCAGCTAGTGTCTCAAAAGCAAGGTAATAATGGGACTTTTAAAGAGTGTGAGTCAATGCCATTTTTTCTCACTAAAAATTCTGTGTTTTGGGAAATACAGTTGTCATTTATAACCTTGTTTGAAATTAATTAATTTCTTAATTTGTATGTTTCTAACACGACAGCATCACTAGTTCAGCCCACCTGTATACCACCAAAGGAATCTGAGAACAAAGCAGGAGGCCACTTTCTGGGTCCTGCCGTCCAGCTGTCGCCAGTGTTTATTTAAAACGCACGTTAGTGGAGTTCTCCGAGCTCAGCCCCTCCTTCCCCTACCTCCCTTTAATACGTCACTCATGTCCTCCCTGAGTTGACTATAGCATATATGAACAGCTCATAGGCTGCAGCTTCTGGACAGTGTTTTATGCTCTTTCCTGTCTTGTTTATTGGTCTCTAGACATCTCCAGAATATCAGAAGTTGCAGGACTCCAGTTCTTGTTATGAGTCTCTTGCTCTCCATCTCGGCAGGAAGAGGAAGGAAGCTGAGTACACCCTGGGCTTCTGGAAGACCTTCCCTGGAAAGATGACGGTAACCCACCACTGTCGTGGTCCCACCGGCCATCCTCTCTCTGCTCCTTGCTTTCTGTAACCGTAGCATTTCTGTGATGCCCTTCTGAGAACTGTAGCCAGGGGTATCCTGAATCCTAGCACCTTCCTTTGTTCCCAGGGGTCCTCTGCAGACTTTATCCTTTGTTTTTGTTTTTGTTTTGTTTTGTTTTGTTTTTGCTACTGTTTTAATCTCCAGTGGGCTCTAGTTTGAGGCTATGACTGAACAGTTCCCCTTAATGTTCCTTGAATCGAGTTCATCCTCCTTTGCACATTTTAGTAATTTTGATAGTTCACTGAAGTTTGTATTAATTCATAGGATTCCTTGAGGAAGCCAGAGCGCCGACTGCTGTGTGAGAGCAGTAACCGAGCCCTCTCGCTGCAGCATGCTGGAAGGTTTTCTGTGAACTGGTTCATTCTCTTCAATGATGCCCTGGTCCATGCTCAGGTAGGCTGGATTCCTAGCTAAAAAGAAGCCTTGGAAAAGGGACAGTTGTGACCTGCTTCATGATGTGCTGTGTTGCAAGAAAGGTGGTATTGAGCAATTTCATCGTTATATGAATGTCAGTGTACTCAAAGGAATCTAGGTCTAGCCCGCTGTAACCCAGGCAGTCTGGTACAGCCTAGTGCTGCCAGGCTATGACTCCCACAGGGGGTTGCTCTACTGAAGACTGGCAGCTGTACCACAGTGGGAAACACTAATGCACCTGAATACACAAGCATGTGCCTGTGCTGGTGTGCTGTGGCAGCCAGGAGATGACCAGGCCAGAAGAAGTCTCTGTTGTTGCTTTGGAACTGTCACCGTCTTGTTGACAGTCATTGTATAGCACATGGCTATGCACTGTCAATTCATGTGACGCACTGTTTCTTTGTAATTGCTGAATAAACGAGAATCTTAACTACCGCCTTTGGTGTTGACTACATTTGAGAGGTTTTATTTTTCTTTATTTTTTGGTCTTTGTTGTTGTTGCATTGCTAGGGGTTGAACCCAGGTCCTCTTAACTATGGAAACACCTTCCCTCTCTTTTTAAGCCACACCTGGAGCCAAGATTTTTTTCCTTAGCTCAAGAATGAGTGTCAGCCATGTGAAGGGTGGCAGAGAGGGGAAGACCCACAGAGGTGGCAGTGCTGTGGTCATTATAGCAGAGATGTTGCCACCCACCAGTCCGTAACCGTCTCAAGGGGCTTGTGCTGTAGGGAAGTGAAGAGACCTAACAGAGGCCCGAGGCTGACGTGGGCTCTTTACAGAGGTGCCTTCATGTTCTCTGTTCCAGTTCTCCACACACCATGTATTCCCTTTGGCCACACTCTGGGCAGAGCCACTTTCTGAAGAAGCTGGGAGCGTGTAAGTGTGCCTCCTTTTCCTGCTCCCTTTATTTCCTTCAGTGGGGTGGTGAGGAAAGCACAGGGATCCTGAGGAAGCTGCCTTCTCATCCTCACTTCCCCTCACACTAGATAGTAAAGTGTCCTGTGTGAAGACCGTGGTGAGCGGCAGGTGGGCATCTCCATGGCTCGAACACTGGGCTGAGACAGATTACTGTACTGAGCATCCTTCTCCCCTGTGCGGAGCTCAGATCTACAGCATGAGCCCTTACGCTGTCTTCTCCCCTGGAATAGGCAGTATCCTACCTGGACAGTGGGTGGTGCGGGGGCTGTGGGAGGGTATCTTCTATTAGAATGACAGGTATGTCTGTTGGTGTTTATTCTTGTGAACATTTTAGGAATGGCTTAAAGATAACCACCCCTGAAGAACAGTTCACGCTCATTTCCTCAACACCCCAGGAAAAGGTTAGTTCTGCACAGTGTTTTCTTTCAATTTCGGCCTTTTCTGTCTTCTATGTTAGTGAAGAAAAAATTAAATATTGTTGTTGCTTCATTAATAATCCTTAAATCAAAACTAGATTTTTGCTTCTTTGTTTTGTTTTCCTGAAACAGTCTTGCCATGTAGCCCTGGCTAGCCTTGAAATAGTAGAATTCTTCCTGCCTTAACCTCTCAAGTGTTGGGATTACAGGAGGATGCCATGACGCCTGGTTATTCTGTGTAGCTAATTTTGTCTGTCTGTCTATATAGGGTAGGGTCTTACTGTGGGGTCCAGGTTAACCTGGAACTCACCAAATGGTCCAGAAAGGCCTGGAACTCTCACAGCAGTCCTGGCTTTGTGAAATGTGACTTAAACCGGAAGCAGTAAGCTCTAAGAGCTGGTTCACATCAGTCAGTGAGGAGAGTCATAGGCCGTAGAAAAAGTACAGCAGAGAACCCCGCAGCACGCAGTGCAGTGCTGGATGCATTGTTGCCTTAAGCTTGCTGACATGGACTCCTTGCTTCTAGACCAAGTGGCTTCGGGCTATCAGCCAAGCTGTAGATCAGGCTTTGAGGGGGGCATCCGACTTCCCACTTTACGGAGGAGGAGGAGGCGGCGGCGGCGTTCAGAGGCAGGAACCACCCATCTCAAGAAGTGCCAAATACACTTTCTACAAGGATCCCCGCCTAAAGGATGCGACTTACGATGGGCGCTGGCTTTCAGGGAAGCCTCACGGCAGGTGACGGGTGCTTCACATTTCTTCCTGGGGAAGGAACGGTGACCGTCAGTCACACTATGGAGAAAGCACTGACTAGCTGAAATATCAGTTGACAGTTGCTACTTTTTGCTCTATTTTCCAGGGGTGTTCTGAAGTGGCCCGATGGAAAGATGTACTCTGGCATGTTCAGGAATGGCTTGGAAGATGGGTATGGCCATTGTTTAAAGTAGATGATTTCAGCCTGATTGGGAGTTGCTTTTCAAACAAGCGGTTGGTTTCTGTTGTGTAGGCATTTGGTGCTGTGCTAGGATTCATGCAGAAGACATGTGGGTGGGCTGTAGACAGTGAGGGTAATACTTATGGGACTAACATGACACAGCAGGACAGACAGGAATTTTATGTTCAGTGGTTTTATAGAAATAGGCCCACCCCACCCCCACCCCTGACTTGCTGTTTTGAGCATAGTTAGGGCCTTGGGAATGCTGGGCAAGTGCTGTTCCACTGAGCAGCAGCCTTAGGCCAGCTTTAGTAGTTTCAAATTTCTTTACCAGTTAAAGGGGAAATTTTCAGTGATGTTACTGTGATGATACTCTACTGACATCAATTTTGGATATTTGTCCTGTTTTTTTTTTTTTTTATCACACTCAGTCACTCAGTATATATGTATGTATGTTTGTTTGTGTGCATGTATGTGTACATGTGCCATGTCCCGTGTATGTGTGGTCAGAGGATAACTTTGACAGCCAGTTCTCTCCTTCCACTATCCTTCACTAATCCTCAGTGAATACTGAGGATTTGAACTCAGGCCACCAGGCTTGACAGCAGGTAGCATAGCAGCTAAGTAGTTTATGTCCTGTTAAAGAAGAAATTTGTCTTACCATAAAAAGATATCTAAACTGGAGAAGTTAGTGTACATATGTGGTAATGTCAGATTTTGTGATTTCAAGCTCATAGTAGGTTTAGAATGGAAGGAGATGTATAATCTACTTTAACCTACTGGCTAGAGGGTGCACAAGCCATTCTACACCGTGACTTAGCACAGAGATGCTGTGAGTTAGCCGCAGAGAGGCGAGGACACGGATACCCTGCTTTTCATTAGCTTAGAGGGAAGCGCCTCGGCAGTGACTCGGGATCAGGCCTGGGGTGCACACCTCACGCTCTGCAGGTGCCTTAGCTGGGAGACGCAGCTTCAACCAAGACCCGCTTTCCCCTTCCCTCTAGGTGAGCCTTCTCCGTGCTCCCATGAAGGCACTTATAAGTACATACGAAGGGGGAGTGTGCCACCTGAGCATCTTCTTAGGCTTTTTCTTTTCCTTGGCAGATACGGTGAATACCGAATCCCAAACAAGGCCCTCAACAAAGAAGACCATTATGTGGGCCATTGGAAAGAGGGGAAAATGTGTGGCCAGGGTGTCTATAGGTAATAACACACTGCGTAAAGCTAAAGCCTGTGTGGACAGAACTTCTAAGGCGTTTTGTCTGTCTTTTTAAATAACCAACACTGTGTGCAAACTTTCTGTACCTACTGAATAAACCGTGACTTTCTACACAAGTCTCACCTACAACTCTAATTTTTTCTACTTGATTCTAATTTGGACAAAACTTTTTACATTCTTCCCTCTCATTGATAGCACATTATTTCATTTCCCATAAGAGACTAAACACAAAATTCTTCATGTTAATGCAAAATATTATTCATGTTACCTTTAATTTTTGAAACTTAGTCTTTGAAACCAGAAGGTTTTTGATTTTTTTATTGCTCAATAATAATAATAAATAATTACAGCTACCCTTAAAAGCGTTGAATTGTGTTTCCTGCAGTTTGTAATGTAGATGCTATCTTTGTGTCCTTTCCAACCACAGCTATGCCTCTGGTGAAGTGTTTGAAGGCTGTTTTCAAGATAACATGCGCCATGGGCACGGTCTCCTCCGGAGTGGAAAGCTGACTTCTTCTTCTCCCAGCATGTTCATTGGCCAGTGGGTGATGGATAAGAAGGCAGGATATGGCGTCTTTGATGACATCACTAGGTACTGTGCTCTGCTTCTGTCTCAGAGTGCACAACGAGAAGATGATGCTCCTACCCCCTCGTGCTCTTTCTTTAGTTTTAGTTTTAGCACAAGTACGCGCACATGTGTGCGTGTGTATGAGTGTGTGCATGTGTGTATGTACGTGTGCGAGTGTATGCATGGGTGTAGACATGAGTGCAGGGTCTGAGGAGGCAGAAGAGGGCATTGGATGCCCTTATCCAATGGTGGCGTTACCAGTGTTGGGAGCTGCAGACATGGGTACTGGGAACTGAACTTGGGTCCTAGGTAAGAACAGTACAAGCTCCCAATTGCTGAGCCATCTCTCTAGCTCCAGCCCTCCAAATCATAAGACATTTATGAAGACTTGAACACCTTACATTTATTCTTAGCCAGAAGACCAAGAAGCAGTTGACTGAAACAGCTTAGTCTGACAACATTAAGAAAACTTTCCAGTTTGGGACGGTGCACCTAGAGGTGCGCGCCTGTCATCTCAGCGGAGGGAAGCGAAGGCCAGCCTGGGCCACGGAGGAAGGCTTAGTTCACTTCACCCACGGCGCCAGTGAGAAGAAAAGGAGGACTTAGCATAAGGAAACGTTTGTCAGGACGTCTGCCTGCCTGCCTGCCTGTCTTTGTTTTATCTATCTACCTATCTATCTATCTATCTTTTTTTTTTTTTTTTTTTTTTTTGTCATCTTTTGTTGTTTCCAAACAACAAGCTACTTCTTCACAAAGTCAGGGTCATTCAGAATTTACATAGGTACTGTTTTCCTACATTTTTACACATACAAAGTTTTTACTGCCTCAAAAATGCTACCAAATCTTTTAATTAATCAATTAATTTTATTTGAGATCAGCTCTGTATCCCAAGGTGGTCTCTGACTCCTTCTATAGTCAAGGATGGAGCTAAATTTCTGACCCTCCAGTCTGTGTCTTCTAAGTGCTGGGATTTCAGTATGTGCCACCAGGCCTGGTTTACACAGTCCTGAGGCTCAAACCACAGCTTTGTGCAAGCTAGGCGAGCATTCTACCAACTGTCTCACATCCTATGCCTGCCAGATCTTCAATGAGAGTCAGTAGAAAGTAGGAATGGAGGGAGACACCAGTGACAGTACGAGTGTGGGGGCTGGACAGAGAATGCTGTCTAAACACAGCACACCTTCTTGTACGTGCACAAACCAGGAACTGTGCCTACCTGCCTAAATCCAGGGAACAAGCCTTAGAGAGCAATGCCATTTCTTCTGCTCTCATATTTGAGTTTGTCTAATTTACTTTGGATTTAATGTTCTACCCTCCTATATGGTATGCACCTTAAGTTTCATAATGTAGGATTTGTGTGTGTATGTATGTGTGTGTGTGTGTGTGTGTGTGTGTGTGTGTGTGTGTGTGGTTTTTTGTTTATTTCTTTATTTGAGACATGGTCACATATAGCCCAACTCACTATGGAGTTGAGGATAGCCTTAAACCTAGCCTTGAACTCCTGATCCTCTCACCACATTGCCTCTCATATGCTAGAACTATAGGCTTGTGCCACCAGGCCCTGTCATAATGTGATTATTTTTTTAATTACCTTTATGGGGCAGCAAGATGACTCAGTGGGTACAGGTGTTTGCCACTGGGCCTCAGGACCTGAGGTCAATCCCAGGACACATGTGGTGGGAGGAATTGTCCTCTGACTTCTACACATGTGCTGTGGGATTCATGTACCTTCTTTCCCCCACCCTCCACAAACACACAAGATGAATAGATAAAATATAAATAATTCTACCTCTTTTATTGTTAAACTATAGAATTTTTGTTTTGTTTTGTTGTTTTGTATGTTTGTTTGTTTGTTTTTGAGACAAGATCTTGCTGTGTAGCCTTTGGTAGCCTGGGACTTAAAAATGTAGACCAGGCTAGCCTCAAACTCACAGAGATCCTCTGCTTCTGAGTGCTGGGATTGAAGGTATGCACTACAGTGTCCAGCGACCTGTATGATTTTATAAGTTGTTTCTATTTCTCTGCCTCCATCTTACCCGTCTCCCCTCTCCACCCAGGGCTTTGCGCGTGCTCCAAGACCACAGCACCACTTAGCTACGTCCTGCCTTATTTTGTCTTTGTGTTTTCTCTTTGAGACAAGGTCCTGCTCTCAAGTTAGTCTGACTCGACCTTGATGCTCCTGGCTCATCCTTCCAGGAGGCAGCATTGTAGTAATGGACCACCATACCCAAGTCGTACTTCATCCTTTAGTGGAGATAGCAAGAACCTCCTTGGTTGTGGTGGATAAAAATTAAATCTTTTATGACAAGCTTTTAGGAAGGAAAATGATTCAGTTATAGTTTAAGTTTGTGCTTTCCTCTTTTAATTACATATTTCATTTTGAAACAGGGTCACATTGTGTAGCTCTGGCTAGTCTTGATCTCTCAGATCTGCCCGCCTCTGCCTCCTGAGTGTTGGATTTAAAGGCACATGCCATCCTACTTGATTTCATTACACTCCCTGAAGTTATCAAGGAAGTATGTAGAGTGTCTTCAGGCCGATGGGTAGAAAACAGCATCATATTCCTGCATGAATATTGCTCTGACTGAGATACACTGTCTTCTGTTTGAGGAGATGGAGTGAGCCACTTTGACTAGAGTAATGGCGCCAGTTCAACCCCAGTGTAATTCAGATCCTGTGGAATAATAGCTTTTCTCCACTGTGTCCTGGTTTCACTAGATTTTCATCTTGTCTTTCTTATTTCTGCGCAGGGGAGAAAAGTACATGGGAATGTGGCAAGATGATGTATGCCAAGGGAACGGAGTGGTAGTTACCCAGTTTGGGCTGTACTACGAAGGCAACTTCCACCTTAATAAAATGACAGTGAGTGCAGTATATATGTGCTTCGTATCGGCTCTGGAAAGCTCCTCCACCCCTGACCTTTAAGGGCTTGTAGTTAATGTTTTCCTTTTGTTTTGGCTGCTTTGAGATGAGGTCTCACTCTGTAACCCAAGCCACACTGGGACCCACAGTATAACTACATGCCCGGCCTGTAACTTGTGGAAACTTGTGCCTCCTGAGCCACCAGGCCTGGCCCTGTGTGACTCTTGGTACTGTTTCCTTCTTTGCAGATGGTGGGAGGCTTTGGGGGTGTGGCTGTGTGCCACACTTTAGCTTCTGCAGTCTGGTGTGACCTGTTTTGCTTCTCCACGCAGGGAAATGGGGTTTTGCTTTCAGAAGATGATACTATCTATGAAGGAGAGTTTTCCGATGACTGGACTCTTAGTGGAAAGGTTGGAAAACAACTTTGTTCTTTCTTTACACTCTCTCACGTACTTTTCTTGACTTTAAAAATTTCTTAAAGAGTGCATCATTGTTCAGTTGCCTTAGCACCTTCTCCCGTGACCACTGATGCCTGTTGTGACTAATGGCCATAAACTCACAGCCTAGGATGACCTGAACTTCTGGTCCTCCTGCCGCCATCTCCCGTGTGCTAGCACGAGAGGAATGTACCACAATACTCAACTTAATTTTTTTTATGTTTTCAGAAAAACAGCTTTGATTCAGTGTGCGTGTTTTCCCTCAGTGCTCAGTCTTCTGCTTCCCTGACGTCTGTTCTGACTTTACGTTCTTCCTTCTTGTGTTGCGTTTAATTTGTTCCCTCACCCTAGTTTCCTAAAATAGACTTTCGGATTACTGACTTAGGCTCATAAGTACTTTCTAAGACAGATGGTAGCAGCCACGTTGTCCCTCCTGAGCTTGGCTTCAGCAGTGGCCAGTGATTGCCATTCAGTGTGTGTGTTTCATACAATGAAGACTTTCCATTTCCTGTTAATTCTTTCTCTTTACCCATGAATTGTTTTCACACATCTTTCTGACCATATGCATACACACATTTTTTGTTTATCAGAATTGAGGCTGGCAAAGAACAAATTAAAAAAGAAAGTGTTAAGTGTTTAGTACTATTTTTTTCCACTTAATTTTTTAAGTTTAAACACTTTTCTAACTCCACGTCTGTTTGCTTTACCCAGGGAACATTGACTATGCCAAATGGAGACTATATTGAAGGTTATTTTAGTGGAGAATGGGGATCTGGGATAAAAGTCACTGGAACCTACTTCAAACCTAGCCTGTATGAGAGTGATAAAGACAGACCCAAAGCCTTGTGAGTACTAGCTCTGGAGTAATTACTGAATATTTCCAGTTGTCTTGCTTTCATCAAAGTAGGTTAATATATTTTTTTTCTATGTTAAAACTTTTATTTTGTTTGTTTAAATAACTTCTTTTTATACAAAGATTCAACAAATGTTTGGAAATGAAAATACAGCAAGAACAAAAATTCTACCATAGATTACCTCCTTAAATATCCACATACGTGGACACCCCGATTTTGTAAATTGTACTAGCTGGTCGTAAGATTTTAAAAGGAAATAGGGAATGTTAATGTCTCCCTCCTTATATCTTGGACTTATATCAGGATTTTCTTGAAATTGTTATATGACCTATGACATAAAAACATTTCAATTTGACTTAAGCACATAATATATGATGTAAGAAATATATAGTGAAGGTTGTGCATTGTCTGAAGATGTTGGAAGATATGACTCTGACTGCTCTGTGAGGCTCTGAAGCAGACGGCGTGGTAACTCAGGAGCGCTCAGCTGCAGTGGCCAGGTATCAAGGCATGCACACACTTGACCAGCATAGACATTTTAGTGTTTCTGTGCAGTGTGTTGGGTGCAGGTTAATATTGTAACGCAAATTAAAAATTTAAGATGCTCTTTTTAGACAAGATCTAACTTCCATGAAGTTATGTTCTCTGCCACCTGCATGGAAGGCCACATCTGTAGTCCTGGCCTAAAGAGCACGCCACAGCGCACACGTGTTTAAAAGTTGCAAATGTGGAATAATCCTGCTGGGGAGGATGCAGATGCAGGTGACAGAAAAACTTTGTGACCTGTAATCTCAAGCAGAGCTCAGACACACGCACATGCACACATAGAAGCACAACGCGTACATGCACATGTGGGGGTGTGTGTGTGCGCACGCGCGCGCGCACACACACACACACCCCAGTACAACCTGCAGCAGTGAGGAAAAAGTCAAAACATCCAAGTATAATTTGTTCTCCCAATTTCTGGGTTGTCTTTCTTTACTGATTCCATCTTAAACTTTGGGTTCTTAATCCTCCTGCCTCAGACTCCTGATCAGACTAGGATTACAGCTGTGCACTACACACTGTGTTCTGGTTTTTTTTTGGGGGGGGGGGATGATTTTTTTTTTTTAACTTTTATATTTTGGTGTTTACCACTCTAGAGGCTGTGGGACCTGGGAGAATGGAGCTGATTAAAATAGTGTCATGCGACAGCCCACCTTTTCAGAGTGTCAGACAGGTTATAAGAAGAATCACAGGAGTACGGTGTTTAATCACAAGGACAAGCTACACATGGCAGGAACATGTTTGTTTGTTTGTATGGAGGCATATAAAAATGTCAACAGCCCAGCTATAATGGATAATCTGAAGTAAACTCACTCCCATTCACTACACCTAGGAGGGGTGCTAAAACACACTCCAAAAACAGTTCTGTGTTTTTGAAGAAACTGAGGTCACCAGATGCTTGTCTTGTTTTCTTAGAGTTTTCTCATAGGCACTCAGAATTCTCGTACATCTCCATTCTTGAACCATGTTCTGACATTTTGGTATCATTTCAGACTCCGTATTCCAGTGAGAACTGCATTTTTAAAATTTATTTATTTTTAGTTTTTCAAGACAGGGTTTCTCTGTGTAGCCTTGGCTGTCCTGGACTCACTTTGTAGACCAGGCTGGCCTCAAACTCAGAGACCCTCCTGCCTCTGCCTCTCCGAGTGCTGGGACTACAGGTGCATGCCATCACGCCTGACTGAACTTAACTGCATTTACATTGATGCTGGCTTTTTATTTATTTGTCTTTGAAGTATTTTTAGAAACCGATATGTAATGCATTTCACATTCCTCAGCTTAAAATGTCTGACGTACAGAAAGCCATTGTTTTAACAGAAGTCTGTTAACAGTAGAGTCATTATATATATAACAATGCATACATATTAGTGTCTGGTGACCACATTAAACAGTAATCAGCTAAATAAATCCCTTCTAAAGTTTCTTCCAGTATTCTTGAGATAGAACTCCCACTGGCCTGTTGGCAGTTTGGGTCACAAAAGAATTTTAATTTGTATATTAGAAAGTTTTTATTCTCGGGGATAGTTTTTCACAAAGGTGGTGATGAATAAAGGTTGGTGTGGCTTTTTCAGCAGGAAGCTGGGAAACCTGGCGGTGGCCGCTGATGAGAAATGGAGAGCAGTGTTTGATGAATGTTGGCACCAGCTGGGCTGTGAGAGCCCAGGCCAAGGGGAAGTTTGGAAAGCATGGGATAACATTGCTGTGGCCTTGACCACCAATCGCCGCCAGCACAGAGACAGGTGAGCACACACCTGCACAGCATGGCAGAGCGTGTTAAGTCAGAAGCTGGAAACCAGGCAGCAGTCAGGCTTGCTGTAGGCAGCCACAAATGTCCTATGTAACACGATTTGAGAGTCAGTGAACTGGGAAGCTCCTAGCCAGGGTGCATGTGGGCGGCTTGCACCGGTTTGTCCCTAGAAGAACCTCATTTGAGGGAAGAAAAACGTGTTTGTATATGCCGATCCTGGGGCCAAGTTCACCGGCAGTCACAGCTGAATTACAGAAGGTGAACTGGGGAAGCGGGACAGTAGGGCCATGAACTTTGCACAGCACTGCAGCCCTGCCAGCTATGGGAGAAATGTGGGTGGGAGGAATTCCTGGTGTGCCAAGCTTGGTGGCCTCTTCTGTCCCTCCTGGTTTCTGCAACCTCGCAACCTGATGGAAAGGAAAGCCCTAGCATTGCAGGCCGTCTGCAAAACCACTTTCCAAAAAAGAGCTTGACGGAGAAATAACACCTCACACTTGGGTGAAGACGGCCCAGAGTGGCCCACGGCCTATTGATTAGATTTAGGGAAGGGTGATAGTCGTGAGGCTTCTTTTCAAACCTTGAAGAGTCATAAGGAAAAAAGGAAGTTTTCCTTAGGAAGTTCTTTAGAGTTTTCTTCTCCCCAGGATCTTGAACTTTAGTGTCTGTTCATGTGTGTTACAGCATGGGGCACTGTGCCAACACACTCTTACTTGCTTCTTCTCCCCCACCTCTCCCTTCCTCCACCCCTCCCTCCCTCTCCTCTGTTTGCCACACTTGTGCTGTTAGCATCATTTTTCATTTAGATATTCTCAGATTATTGATCCAGGCACCTAGAGACTCTGGCCACTTAGGAAGAAACTTTCCTGCACTCAGTAGAACTGATGCACGGAATGTGTTCTTTTGATTGTGGCGAGCAAGGGCTGTGCCCAGGACAAGTGTTCCTTACAGCGCACAGGGCTTTTGATCCAGTCTGAATTTGTATCGAACTCTGTTTACTGTGCTCATTAACATGTTGAGCTCTTCTTTTTTTGTAAGATTTGTTTTTAAGTGTGTGTGTGTAAATGACTGTCTGTGCCTGTGGAGGCCAGGGAGTTTGGGAGCCCTGGAACTGGAGTTCTGGGCAGTTGTGAGCAACCCCGTGTGGGCACTGGGACCTAATGCAGAGCCCCTGCAATACTGGTGAACACACAACCCCTGAGCCATGTCTCCAGCCTCTCCTTGTGAAAACAAATCATTTTAGTGCTGTGGCGTTCATGGTTTCATTGCTGAGCTTATTTTCTTAAATGTCAAAACACTGTGCTGGAGAGGTGCCTCAGCTCACTGGAGAATCTGCTGGCGTGGACTGCAGGTGGCTGATGTTGGGGTTTAAAGCAAAGATGGCAGAAATGTTCTGCTGAGCAGTCACAGTCATGCTTGAAATAGTTGTTAAAATGAAATTATCATCAAAGAAACATGACCTAAAGAAGAACCAAATTCAAGTTTCAGATTTAAGACTACAGTCACCTAAAGAACTCACCATGGGCTCAGAATCAGAACCGAGGTGCCAAGGGGAGAAACAGTGAACTTGGGAGTAAGTCAGTGCGAACTATCGCTCTTAGCAGCACAGGAAAAACCTGGGTGGAAGTGAACAGGGCCTTGAGAAGTCTAGAAGAGAAGAGAAGAGAAGAGAAGAGAAGAGAAGAGAAGAGAAGAGAAGAGAAGAGAAGAGAAGAGAAGAGAAGAGAAGAGCGAGAGAAGTGGCTCCGTGGTTAAGAGCACTGTATGTTCTTCCAGAGGACCAGGGTCAAAACAAGCAAACAAACAACAAAACAAAAATCACAATTCCACCAGGATTCTAGAAGAGGAGCAGTGATAAAGATGTGGTGTGGAAATTGTTTTGAAGCAATGGTTGAGAAAGGCACAGCATTGGGTAAAATGTGAACCTGTGAATTCAAGGAGCTAAGCAAACTCTTAAAAACAGACTGATCATGTTCAGAAGCCTCACAGTCAAGTTACAAAGAGAACAACCTTGAACATGACCAGAGAGAGCGTGCATCACACCCAGTGTGCCGCCGCGAGTGTAGTATGTGTGTGCACGCAGCCTCAGCAGAAGCCTGAAGCCCTGAGAGAAGGGCCAGCATTTCCAAACACTGAATTAAGGGTGGACCTTTCATTCTCCTTTCTCCATTTCTCCAGCAGCCTTTTTCCTTCCCTCGCTTGTACAGCATCACTGAGCACTTGAACTGAATTTCTCAGCCTTAGAGCGCTTGTGGCTCTTGGAGAGGACCCAGGTTTGATTCTCAGCACCTCATGGTGTTCACACTGTCTGTAACACCAGGGCCAGGGGATTGGAACCCTCTTCTGAGCTCTGCAGGCATATGAACACAGACACATATATGTGTGTATATAGATATACACACACAAACACACATATATACATTCAGGCAAAACATTCATACAAGTAAAATCTAAAAAAAATTAAAATATCAAAAAGTGCTTAGTTTGATCTTTGTACATAGCTGCATATATTTGATTTTTTAAAATCAGTTTTATGCTACTTTTCATTTGCATCTGTTAGTTGCTTTCCAATATCCAGCAACTAAAGAAAATTCAAATTTTGACCTTAGGCATATGCTGACATAAGGACCTACGTTAAAGGTAAACTGGAACCGAGCTGCACGGCCTTGCCCTGTAGTTATCCCTGCTTCCCTGCTGAGGCCTAGAAGGCTTTGCCTCTCTAGTCCATTTTTATCCATTTCTCTGCTCATTTATTCATTTATCTATCTATTTATTTATCTGTTTGTTTGTTTATTTATTTATATTTGTTTGTTTATTCCTTTATTTATAATTCATTCCTTATTGTGTTTTCTTTTCATTGGCAAGGCTGGTGCCAACTTTCAATTCAAGTTTGTTATGAATTGCCCAGTGCTGTACCTTAAATTGAACAGTTTTCATGATTTCTTAGAGTTAACACAAAGTAACATCAAACGCCATTTAGATTTATGTACTAGTAAGTCAGCTGCTATTGATGAGTGTGTTGGGCCTGGGCTAGGGCTGTAGATGGTCAGCTATCACATGTTCAGTTACCGTAGGTCAGCTATGGTGAGCAAGATGGGGTCTGTGCCAGGTGCTCCACTTCCTCCTCCATTGGTGACTGCTACAGGCACACATTTACAGATGCTCTCCCTTTCCTCTTCCTCCTCAGCCCAGAGACACTAAGCCGTTCACAGACTCAGACACTGGAGAGTTTGGAGTACATCCCCCAGCATGTTGGTGCCTTCTCTGTGGAGAAGTATGACGACATCAAGAAGTATTTAATAAAGGTAGACAAGTCAAAATGACCGGCAGCTGTAGAGCTGGGTGTGTGCGGGAGGGTCAGGGCTTCAAGGCCATCTGCTAAAAGGTGAAGCCAGCCTGAGCTACGTGAAACCCTGTCTCGTCTCTACTCTACCTCCAAACCTTCCGAAACACGCAAAATCATTATTCAGATATTAAGCTAATCTTGGTTTTCTTTCTCTGCTTTGTTTGCTAAATCTTCAACTGCCCCCTGCCGAGTAAAGTGTCTTTGTGATGAGAATCCAAGTCCTCTCCTGCCAATCTTGAGCTGTACAGTGTTGTTAGCTATAATCCCCTGCTGTAACCAACATCGTCCCTAGTTCTTCTACAGTAGAAAACTTTAGACACAAAAAATGGACAAAATGGAATTCCTGATGTAGACTACCATCACAAGAAAGAGCCCAACATTTTAAACTTAACTTCTGTTAATTTAATTCTTTCAGCCAGGCTGTGCCACATTTCTGTAATTCTAGCCCCTGGGAAGCTAAGGTGGGACAATCACAAGTTCGAGGGCAACCTGGGCTACACACCAAGACCCTCTCTCCAAAACAAACAACAGTAAGAGCAGGTGCTGGAGAGACGGTGCCCCACACCCACACCTGCACTCCAGGGTTCTTAGGCTCTGAGCTCCGTGAGTGTCTGCATCAGACAAACACACGTGACTTTTAAAAACCTTAAGATATATAAACAGAGAAGCAAAAATAAAATGTCACAGAATGCATGTGGAGTGTTCCCTTGAAGAAGAGCAGATATAGACTGTTGCTCTCACTGGCTACAGTGTGAGACCTGTCTCAACACAAGTATTCATAGCCCTAGCTCCTTACAATTCAGGTAGGCTCCAGGGTCAGAAAGTTAAAGGTATTTGAATTTTTCTGACCCCAGATTGACCCCTGACCTTGTGGAAGTTGGTTGTTGTCTGTGAAGGGTTTGTTGTGGACTGGCTTCTGGCGCTGGCGCTCTTGCTGCACACTGACCGACTCCTCGCTTCTGCTCAGGCCTGTGACACCCCTCTGCATCCGCTGGGCAGGCTCGTGGAGACCCTGGTCGCAGTGTATAGAATGACGTACGTGGGCGTGGGGGCCAACCGCCGCTTACTGCAGGAGGCCGTGAAGGAGATCAAGTCCTATCTCAAGCGGATTTTTCAGCTGGTGAGGTAAGAGCGCACGCTGACGCTCAAAAGCCATAGGGTGTTCTGTTAACACAGGCTACCTTTAACCTAAACCTAGATCTTGTCGCTTTGTGAGGTGCCTACGTGTCCCCCTTTACCACAGGAAGTATTCCTCAGGAAAGATGGCTTTCTGCTACAGGTCCTTAAGTAGGCTGAATGGTGAAGTGCATTTTTAAATTGCTTATGCTTATACGTTTAAAAAGATGGACTCTACCATTGGTGTTTACCTGCCTTATGTATGTTCTCACCAAATGTAAAATAAAGTTTGGTTTTCCAAGTCTAATTTGGTGTGAAACATAGTAGTCTTATTTGTATTTAACTTCCAGGCTGAATCATGTCTCTAGAGCCTTACCATAGAATAGACAGAGTTCACTGTGAAGTCTGGACTCAGAGGTTCTGTCCAGTCCCTTCTCTTCACAGCAGCACTTTACCATTTACTCAGCAGGAGTCGGTTGAATGCTCCAGTCTCTTAACCAAGCAAAACACTGAGAAGTATTTTTCCTTCAGCTCACGAACCAGAGTAAGGAGAAACAGACAACACATGCCGTACATAGCGTGATTAGCTCTTTAAAGACCGGTAAGGACGGTAAGGCAGGAGCTGGAGTGAGGTGCTTGCTCTCTGTTCAGGTCTGGGTGCCTGACTGACCAGGAAGGAGTGAGAGGCTAGGAGAAGTGGTTCATGAGCCGGGAACTGTCATAGAGAAGACATTCAGGCAGCAGCAAGTTGGAGCTTATGAGCTGGGTTTTAAACCAACAAACGACTTCTCTATTGAGTCACTGAGGAGTTTGCCTTAGAAACTTCCTTATATTATTACTAAGCTCAAAATTGCTAAGCACATTTGGAATGTGTCAGGTTTGGAGGAACAGTGTGTCTCTGAGTAGGCTTACTGCAATGGGAGTGTTTTAGCTCTAACTGTAACTAGGTATGTATGATGAAAAGAACTCTCTTTATAGCTATAAAATTAGAGTGGGGGCCAAAATATAACTTCACAAAAAAGTAGAGAAAATTACAGCTGCCCTTAAAGGTCAAGATTTAAGTCTCTGAAATAAATGGGACAATAAACTTGCAGGCCCCAGCAACATACCTGAAGTAACAGATAAAAACCCAGAGCAGTGGTTTCCAGCCTTCCTAATCTTTGGCCCTTTGATACAGCACCTCGTGTTGTGGTGACCCCAACCATAAAATTATTCTGTTGCTACTTTATAACTGATCTGAGAGCAAAAATCAATGAAGGAAAAGCAAAACTAGGAAATATTCCATAATTTTGTCCCTTATCATTTAAAGAATTAACAGCAAGCCTGAATTTTAGAAGAGTTTTGAAATTCACATTGAGATCTCTGTGATTCACTTGAGGTTATATTCTGAGAGTAATGTTCAGAGTTAATGCAAGTTTCCGGTTAGAGTTGAAGTAAGTTGGCCTCAGGTAGATGAGAACTCCTTAGTCACTGGATGGATGAAGCCCCTGCTCAGGAATGCTTTTGGAAATGTCACCGGAATCCCCATTCTGTAGGAAGCATCATTTGAGACTCCCAGGGAGCTGGAACAGGTTCTTAATGATACAGTTTGGCTTCATAGGCCTTTAGGTATATCAGCTGCTACAATTTGATACTTGCCTCTTGAAGCTGCTCTGGACTTGGAAGTTACCAGTTTGTTTTCAATTATCACCTAGGTTCTTATTTCCTGAGCTTCCTGAAGAGGGCAGCACAATTCCTCTCTCTGCTCCTCTGCCCGCTGGAAGGAGATCCTTCTGCACCGGAAAGTCGGATTCCAGATCCGAGTCTCCAGAGCCAGGGTAAGTGGAGCTGGGTGAGGTGGTGAAGAAGTGGGTGAAGGCTGCGTGGACTCCTGAAGAACCTCGGAGATAGCTCTTTCCCCAGGCCTGGCTCCTCATTTCTCCAGTGAGCCCTGTAAGGTTGCTAGTGGTAACACTCCAGGAAGGAGCAGGCACACGTGGCCAGGCTGCCGAGCAAGGGTGACTTGTGCCCGGTTAGGTGACCCTGCAAGAGCAGCCTCAAGATGAAGCAACAGAGGCTCAGTTCGATTTCCAGTCATCCAGCAGTCCACACCAGGTGTTTCAGCACTCTGCAGAGACATCATGAGAGCCTCGTCTAGCAGAGGAAGCTCCATCTCTCGCTCGCATTAATGGGCCTGCCTTCCTTGCCTGTAGTTATGTGGTAACAAGTTCTGGCCTGCTGCTTCCTGTGCTGCTGCCTCGCCTCTACCCACCGCTATTCATGCTCTACGCCCTGGATAACGACCGGGAGGAAGATGTTTACTGGGAGTGTGTGCTTCGACTAAACAAGCAGCCGGATATTGCTCTCCTGGGCTTCCTTGGGGTGCAGAGGTAGGTGCGAGGCTGTTAGCAGAACCGAAAGTCCTTCAGCACTGCTGGAATTTATTGGCATCTACTTATGTGTATATGTGTGTAGTTTCCCAACTTGCTCATCTGCCCAGTTAGCATAATAGCAGTACTAATGGTCTTCGTTTCTGAGAGGATGTGGAGATGGTTATGAAGTTGCGTTTTCATCTGCACATGTTTTTCTTCCATCATCATATAAACCACATGGCTCATCTTACCTAATAAAGATGTACAATTTATATTCCTATTCCTTAGAAAAGTTAATTGCTTTAAATATTTGGTGTCCCTTGCCTTTCGATCCTTCTTTCCTCGTTTGCAATTTAAATTTCCAGACTTAAATGGTTTTTTGTTGTGTTTTTTTTTTTTTTTTTTAATCTCAGACCATTGGCTCTTGTTCTAGGGAATCATGATCATCCTTTTAATCTAGAGTGTGATAAAGCTGGTCCCTAACCCATCCGAGACTTATGAATTCATACTATCAAAAAATGTGTAGATGCTTTTATTGGGAAGTCATTTTTTTTTCCAGTGGAATAATTTAGTAATAAAAATGTGATAAAGGTAAATGAAGGAAATATTCTGGGCTATAGCGCAGGGCTATTGGAATACAGAATGACAGAAAGCCCTTGGGATATAGTAGATTATATTGCCAACATAAAAACACAGCTCTCATCTTAAAGGGAATACGAGATTGTTTATTCTGGAGCCGTTATGAATGACATGGCTCAGGAATACAGATTTAGGTTACCCCAAATTCAATCCATGTTCCAACCTGGAAGCAGTTCTACAGGGCTTTTATAGTTTTAAAGAATGGAGAAGGTTATAAATCAAGGCAAGTTTAAAATGCTTTGATGTGTACACCAGAGAGGGAGATACATTGAGATGGGACAGGCATTCTATAGTCCCAAGATGCTATTTCATGACATTCTGAGCTCTTGGATTGCTGGAAAAGTGTTCTCCTAAGATAATAGCCTCTAAGACATCATTATTTATTATCACACGATCTTAGTTCTAAGTTAATAGTTTCTAAGAGGTTTTTTATTTATTATCATGTTTTTTCAGATACAGATCCAGGAATGGCTGTTCCAGAAGGCTCAAACTAGCCCAAGATAAAGTAGTTAGCCTCTAAACCTACAAAATTCCAGTCTCTCACAGCACTGAAACTGCAGTCAGCCCATCAGTCTCTGCAGACAGACTCCTTCCAGCAGTTTTCATTCACAGCCAGACACAGCTTCTTCTCAGGAGTTTTCATTCACATTCACACTATTAAGCCATTTTCAGGATATTTACTAAGATTTGGGGGGGAAAAAGTAAATAAAAACATGAAACTCAGAACTGATTTAAAATTAATTAATTTTTTAAAAAATTTCATGTGCATTGATGTTTGACTTCCATGTATATCTGTGTGAGGGTGTCAGATCTTGGACTTACAGTTGTAAGCTGTCATGTGGTTGCTGGGAATTGAACCCCGGTCCTCTGGAAGAGCGGTCAGTGCTCTTAACTGCTGAACCATCTCTCCAGCTCTGAAAACAATTTTGTGTTTTTGCTTTGGTTTGGTTACAGGGTTTCTCTGTGTGGTCCTGGACTCTCTTTGTAGAGCAGGCTGACCTTGAACTCACAGAAATCGCCTGCCTCTGCCTCCCAAGTGCTTCGATTAAAGGTGTGTACCACCACACCCAGCTTGAGAAGATATTTTTAACCGAGAAGCCAAGATAACCATCACTTTTTTTAAAGATATGGGGTATCTACCATAATCTCATAGTAGCAACTTGTTGTTTCATTGTAGGAAATTCTGGCCAGCAACCCTGTCAATCCTCGGAGAGAGTAAAAAGGTATAGTGGGTTTCGGTTCCTCGTCAAACACGCCCTTCCTTGCCCAATCTATTGCACTTTACATGAGCGGTGCTCATGTTATTAGCCTCAGTGACCCCCAGTGCTCTGCGCCCTCCTGTGGGATCCTTAAGTTTCCTCCTGCAGAGGATGCCTCTCTTCTCTGACTCTCATTCTCCTTAAACAGGTTTTGCCAGCCACAAGGGATGCTTGCTTTGCATCTGCAGTGGAGTGTCTGCAGCAGATCAGGTATGCCTCATGCTGTTGAACAGTCTCACAATCAGTGTGGCGGCTAGAGCTCTGGGAGAGGAGAAAGAACGCATGTCCTCTTCTCCTTCTTAGCCCCAGACAGGCTCTTGCTAGGTTTGTCTCCTTTCCACTCTCTGTTGTCAGAATAACTGTGGCAATCAGACAGTCTCTCAGGAAACATTTGGATGCTTTACTCTTAAAGTGCCAAGCATGGGAGCCCACCTGGAGATCTGTTGATATCAAATGGGAATTAACCAACAATTTCTTGTTCAGAACAGAGACTCCAATGGGTCAAAGGAAGCACTGTGAGGGTCCTTCTGCAGGAGCCTCTGACAGCTGCAGGCTTTTTCCCACATGCTGTGTGGTCACACAGGATCCCCTTCACACTCTGGTTGCCTAGAGTGTCTAATCTGAGGCATATGACCAAGCGGGACTGTTGTTGTTGCTGTTTTTTAAATGAGTAAGAAGTGGCTTTATTGGGAAAATCATACAATATCTTTTCACACTTTCTTTTCACAATAGCACAACATTTACTCCATCAGACAAACTTAAAGTCATCCAGCAGACCTTTGAAGAGATCTCCCAGAGCGTCCTGGCGTCGCTGCAGGAGGACTTCCTTTGGTCCATGGATGACTTGTTCCCTGTCTTCTTGTATGTGGTGCTCCGGGCCAGGTACCCAGTTTTTCCAAACGTCATTGTTGTTTGTTCTGGCACTGTTGCTTACCACACCTTCTTGTCTTGAATTGATGATAGTGGGATGCTCCCACCAGAACAGAATTTCACTTGTGCTAAGCTGTTCTTTCTCTGCCATGATCAGTTGATTCAAAAGCAGGGTCCCCTTGGATGCAGAGTGAACTTTCCATCTTTTGTGTCTGGGACAGGATTCGGAATTTAGGCTCTGAAGTTCACCTCATTGAAGATCTGATGGACCCCTATCTCCAGCACGGGGAGCAAGGCATAATGTTCACCACCCTGAAGGTGAGTGTCTCATTGACTAAGTCTTAGGATTCTGTCCTTCATCGCCACACTATACGTAACTCAGTGACCACTTCTCCGCACTCTCTCCTCTGTGGAGCTGGGGAGGGGTTGCTCATTTCCAGCCTGGCCTGCAGCTCTTAGTCATCTTCCTGCCAGAGCTTCCAAGGACTACAATTGCAAATGTGAGCCACTATGCCTGACCTGCTTCCTCCTTTATGGAAAAATTAAACATACACTGTATTTTTTTTATTTTATTAAAAATTGATATTTTTGGGGGGTTGGAGAGATGGATCAGCCGTCAAAAGCACTGGCTGCTCTTCCAAAGGTCATGAGTTCATTTCTAAGCAACCACATGGTGGCTCACAACCATCTATAGTGAGATCTTGTGCCCTCTTCCGTCATGTAGGCAGAGTACTATATAAATAATAAACAAATAAATCTTTTTTAAAAGAAAATAGATTTCTTATACAATATATTATGAATATGGTCTCCCTTCTGTTTCTTGTTAGAAATCAAGCAGGCATCTAAGGAATAATAGAAAAATACAATAAGATAAATTTAAAAACAAGCAAATTGGAGTAGGACAAAGCAGCCAAACAAGAAAAAGCACAAGAAACACATATAGACGTAGAGACACATTTGTTCACACACACGGGAAATCCCATAAAAACACAAAACTAGAAGCCATAATGTATATTGACTTTGGCCAAGGTCATATTACATATTACAAAAACTGTAAAGTTAAAGCAAAAAAAAAAAACCCTCTGACTTAAAATTATGAGACAAAGCTGGCCATCTGCTGCTGGGCATGGGGCCTGCCCTTAAGTGTGGTTTGTTTTCTCAGTGAGACGCCTTGGAAAAAGCTAATTTTTCATTGGCAAGTGGCTCTCAATTGGAGATCACCTCTGATTAGAACTAGGGATGGGTGCTTGTGTCCACTTCTCCTTTCAGCTCTAGGACCCCTGTGGTCAGGCCCCTGCAGGCACTGTGCATGCTGCCTCAGTCTCTGAGTTCATGTGTACATCAGTGCATTCTGTATAGAAGGACTTGATTCCTTGCTGCCTTTCATCCCTTCTGGCACTTAGACTCTTTCTGCCTCCTCTTCTGTAGAGTTCCTTGAGCCCTGAAAGGAGGGATTTGATAAGACATCCCTTTTAGGGCTTAGTGTTCCAAGGTCTCTCACTCTGCATATTGTCTGGCTGTGGGTCTCTATAGTTGTTCCCAGCTGCTCTAGCAGAAAGCTTCTCCAGTGATGGCTGAGCAAGGCACAGCTCTATGAATATAGCAAGATGCCATTAGGAGTCCTTTTATTGCTGTGTTCCTTTAGCAGAACAGTTGTAATTGGTTCCCCTGGGTCCCTGGCCTGTGTAGGTTCAGGCTGACCACCCGAGCAGCATTGTTTGGGGTTCCATGTCAAGAAGTGGCTTTAACTCAGATCAGATACAAGCCTGTGACCGACCCTGTTGCAGCAGCATGTCTGGGTCACTCTTGTAGATCAAAGGACTTGTATCTGGGTTGCTGTTTACCTTTCTCTCGGGTAGTGTGCAGGGTGCCTTCCTGTGCCCTGAACAATAGTCAGTAGAGGTGAAGGCTCAAGGTGGACACCAGCTTGACGGCTCCATGGTCAGCGAGTTGTGTCGGTGCTGTCTTCAGTGGGTCCCTACTGTCTGTGAAGAGCTACCAACAGCCTTGGTAGCAGCCTGAGTTGTTTGTGGGTTCTCATGGGGTCCCTTTGGCCAAGAGCTCAGTTAGATGTAATCCTTTCCTGGTATTGAAAGCTTCATTTGGGGACTAGAAATGTCCAGCTGGGGCTCCGTCTCCTCTGTTGTCTGATGATTTTATTTAAATTGCCTTTGTGTGTGTGTACATATATATATACATATATATATATATATATACACACACATACACATGATATATATATATATCATGTGTATATATATATATACATATATATATATATATACACATATATATATATACACATGATATATATATATATATATATATGTGTGTGTGTGTGTGTGTGTGTAAGCATATAAATGTTTTAGGAACCTTCTGCTGTATTAGGTTTCCATATGACTCAAATGGCCCTTAGTTGTTTTTTTTTAATTAATTTTTTATTAATTACAATTTATTTATTTTGTGTCCCAGCTGCAGTCCTCTCCCTTGTCTCCTCCCAACCCCACCCTTCCTCCCTCTTCTCCTATTCCCCTCTCTAAGTCCACTGAAAGGGGAGATTCTCCTCCCCTTCCATCTGACCCTAGCCTATCAGGTCTCATCAGGACTGGCTGCATAGTCTTCCTCTGTGTCCTGGCAAGACTGCACCCCCCCTCATGGGGGAGGTGATCAAAGAGCCAGCCACTGAGTTCATGTCAGAGACAGCTCCTGTTCCCATTGCTAGGAAAACCACTTGGAGACTGAGCTGTCATGGGCTACATCTGTGCGGGGGTTCTAGGTTATCTCCATGCATGGTTCTTGGTTGGAGAATCAGTCTCAGAAAAGACCCCTAGGCCCAGATTTTTCCTGTCCTTCCCCACATCCCTCTCTTATGCCCTTCTATCCCCTTCCCTATTGGATCCTCCCATTCTGGTTCCCTTCACCCCATCCATCTTTAACTGTCTTTTCTGTTTCTCCTTCCTAGGGAGCTCCATCCCTCCCCTAGTTCCTTACTCTGTGCTTAGCCTCTGTATGGACTACAGCTTGTTTGTCTGTCATTGAACAGCTAACATCCTCATAGAAGCAAATACATACCGTGTTTCCTTTCAGGGTCTGAGTTGCCTCCCAGTGTAGACTAGAGACAGTTAGAATATATGTTGTTGGTTCTAAAAGCATGATAATATATTGAATCAGGACAGGTCAGACCTCTACTACAAGGTAATAAAATCTTATAAAATTATAATTTTTAATATGAAGTAGTCTGCTATGGTCACATGAATGGACATGATAGTAGTTCATAGTAACAATACAATAATACAGTTTTCACATCAGAAATGAAAGATGCAAACTAAAGTTGAAAAATATAAATTATTTAATAAATGTAAAAAAAATATTGTGGTTTGTAGCAGTTTTGGAAGTAAACTGAGGTAGAAAATTATAGGTGCTTTGTAGAGAGATGAGCTGAGGAAAGGAAAGACTGTCCTGTTAAAATGGACAAAAACCTTAGAACTGACTATCAGGTTTGTGGCCTGACTTAACTTTTTAAACGTTTTAACATTATTATTTCTGTTATATAAACTGAAAAAGAGGAATGAAGAGCAAGCCAGTAGTAACACGTCTACAAATACTTTATTAGTATTTCTGTGAAGTGCTCCCTGGGAAAATTAGTAAATTTACGTAAGGACAGGCTCAGACTCACCCAAAATCACAGAAGTCTGGACCGCAGCTTCTGCCTAAAATACCAGCAGGGCTATTCCGGTCCTAGCCAGTGCTGGTGCGTTTCCAGTGGGGCCCCTTTCCCACACTGCTGATAGCGGGGTAGACGGGCCAGGCTGCTCCTGTGACTTGTTGCTAATGTGGCAATGGTGTGTTTGACTCGGGATTCACTCCCTGCAATGAAGCCTAGGAAATCTAGAGTGAAAGCACGCGCCAGCCCGGTGCGGCCATCATTGTCGTTTGTGATTCCTAGCCACGCAAGCACTTTGGGGTCACTGAAGGGGCTCCTCAGAAACGCAGCCCTGGAAACTCTGACGTTCGTGTACGGGGCTGCTCAGATTCCTTGTTTAGTAAGGTGTCCCAAGGAGCTCTAGTCACACTTGGCTTTGGGTACGGTCACACTTCCCTGTCACTAGTGAGGAGCTCTGGTCACACTTCCCTGTGCACCTTCACACTTCCAGTCACTAATGAATGTCCTGGTTCTAATCAGTGAGGAGAGCGCACAGCCGAGAACCACCTTGCCCTAGAATTGAGGGGAAGTGTGTAAGCATTTGTCCTTGTTAATTACAAGTGGGCTAGTCTGGAAAGAGTGGTGAATTTGCATTTGTTTTGAATCCTGCAGGCGTGTTATTACCAGATCCAGCGGGAGAGGCTGAACTAGAACGGGAGCCAGGCTATCTGCTGTGGAGGCCGCGACCCCGTCTGGAGTCTCTGGTGGGGGCACGGAACACTGTTGAAACTGGAATGGACTTGATGTTGTTTTGGTTGTAATTTCTGAGCCTTACTAATACTTAGATCCCTGAGCCCAGGGTGGAAAACGTACTGTATTGTTCAAGTGGACGCTGGGAAAGGAAATAGGAATCAGGTTAGACAGCCCTTGGCCTGTGCTAAGATCCGTTCACCTGCTCAGAAAAGGAAACCGGGTTACCCTTTCCTGAAGTGAAAGCTCTCCGCTCCGTGAAGTGACAGGAAGTGTCCAAGAAAGCTGCTGACATGAACGAAGTTGGTGACTATCTGTAAGATCCTACTTGGTCCAAATCCATTTGCACTGACCCTCATCCCTTGGCAAGGAGCTGGTTTTACTTGAGACTGAAATAGCCAGCTGTACCTTACCTTCCTGGACCCTTTCTAGCCACATGTGAAGCATGCTACTTGGCTAGGGGAAGGAGAAGAATTTTTAAACTGCAGTTTTAACCTTTTTAAAGCCCCTCCACCAGGGTATCCCGTGAGGAGACACCAACCCCCTGGTTCCAACATGGAACGCGTCCTGGAATGCGTCCAAATAAGATCTTCTGCCTCCTGATGAAAAAGAACATAGGAATCCACTGGAATGCAAACACTGACCCTGAGCTGCTACACGCCTCACTGGTCTGGGGCAAGCTGCGTTCCCAGGAGGCTCCTGAGCTTCTGAGCACAAGCTTGTGTGGAAACTGAAGACAGGAAATGTGGAAGGAAGCAAGGAACCGCAGCAGCCCCAGCCCAGAGTGTGGGTCTTCCCTGAACCTCACACTGAACTCAGGAAGGAAGGAGAGACACACTGGCATTTCCCACCTCAAAAGTATTGTGACATGGCAACATTTTCACGGTTTGCTTTTTTACAAACATCCCACTGTAGGTTGTCGGTTTACACCCTAGCGGTAACGCTGGTAGCTGTCCGGATAACACAGGTGCTCTTCCGTCTCATCTGCTGTGCTCCAGGCTGAGCACGGTGTCCTGATTCATGTGAAGTGACTCAGCAGGCGTTACTTTTGAAAAGGATCATGATTTATGAGCTACTTTGTAATCAAGACAAGCATTTGTTAAAACACTGTTTCGGAGTGTTGGCTGTAATGTAACAGCACTTTTCATAATAAATGACATCCATCTCTAAGAAGTTGTTCTGTGACTAGAAATGACATGGGGCAGATGAAATTTACACGCTGCTCAGCTCAGAGCATGTCTTTGTCCACACAGTGTAATCCACACTGACCTTGGGGCCCCTGGGTTTAGCTCACCTACCTGCAGACAGTTTGCTGACAAAGAATAAGTTGACTCTGACCCTGCTACCCCAGGACAAGAGTCTTAAAGGAAACCTGTTCCTTTGTATAAAGGCATTTGGCTCTTGTTATCTTGGTTTTTCTTTAGGGAAGGGTAGGGAGGGGGGTTCCTGAGACTGTTTTCATCTTTCCACTCAATGCTTTCTGCCAGAATGAGCCAGCACCCGTGGGAAAGGGACCACCCTCACTCCCTTTTCCATTGCTGATATTTCTGCCTTTGTGGACCAACACACAAGTGCCACATTTGGCCAGTAAAGACAAAGTAATTGAACATCTAGCTCCTTGAGAGAGAGAAAGATGGGGTAATAGTGGAAATGGATAAAAACCCAGAACTGAAGAAATTCTCAAATGACAGCATGCCAACCCATCTCTGGTAACACATTGCAATCCATCCTTCTATTTTGGCCTTAAGTGAAACTGTCTAACCATTTTGTATTTTTCATTGAGTTACATCTTTTTGTTGTTTGTTAGTTTTCGAGACAGGGTTTTTCTGTTGTAGCCCTGGCTGTCCTGGAGCTCACAGAGATCCACCTACCTCTCCCAAGTGCTGGGACAAAACCTGTGCAGCACTGCTACCCAGCTAGTTGCATCTTTTTTTTTTTTTACTTAAATATTCCATATTTATTTATTCCATATTAGTTGCATCTTAAAACAATAAATTTTCAAGTTGTGTGTGTGTGTAAACCCCTACATCTCCAGGTTTCTATCTGTGACTAGAAGCACCCATGTAACTGACGGGAAGATCCTGATGGCTGCTCACAGTAGCCCCACAGACAAGGGTCAGCCCCGGCTCTCGCCATTTTCCAGCACTGGATGGCCGTGACCTGCTCTGCGCGTGAGCTGGGACTCAGCCCGGAGCTTCCCTGCTCTCACAGACACCACCTCTTCAGAGCTGGGTTCTACCTTAGGACTTGAAAAACTGAAGTTTAAAGGAAAACTAAACTCCTCAGGTGGGGGTGGTTGCACACCTTTATAATCTTGCCCCTGGAAAGGAAGGTGAAGGCAGGAGGACGGGAAACTCAGAAGTTACCCTTGGTTACCTACAGAGTTTGAGGCCACCTAGGCTACATGAGACTCTGTCTCAGAACAAACAAACAGAAGAACAAAAAACTTAAAAAGTAGAAAAAAAAATCTGGTGTGGGTGTGTTATCCGGAAACAGTCAGCAAGAGTATTAACGATTTGGGGGTAGGGTAGCAGCGAGAAAGAAGAAGCCACTGAGGTGGGACATGATGCAGATGAGCTGTTTCCATAGCAGGACAGTGAGGGCTGGTGCTAGAGGCTTAGGGGGGGTCAGCCTTCAGGCTGCAAGGTCAGGATTAAGTCAAAGAGGATGTGCAGAGGTTTTATCTAGAGCTGCAGGTGACTTTGGCAGCTGAGGCCACCGGTGTTTCCTGCTCGCCTTTCTCTTCACAGGAGCGGTGCTGCTGCGTGTTTCCATCCTCACAGGTAAGAGACTCCTTACACTGCCAGAGTCACAGTCACAGACTGCACAGACCCTGGGCAGTCTATTTCAAAGTGCTTGACCGCCATACAGGGCCGTCTCTTAAGTGTGGGCCCGTGAGTTGTTACAGAGTTCAGGGAAACGGGCTATGGGTCCCGAAGCAGAGGAAGTCAGCAGGCTGTTTCTAATGGTTGCAGGATCTGATTTCGATAGTGAGAAGTGCTTTGGAAAACAAGCATGATGGGTAGGAGGTCAGAACTTTGAATAGCAGTTAGTGTATTTTTTTAAAACAGAAGGAAATACTGACTTAAAGTATTTTAATTATGCATGTGCGTGCCTGTGTGAGTGAGCGAGCCCTCGTGCCACAGAGTGCTTGTGGGAGTCAACTGAAGAAAGACAGTTCTCTCCTCCTGCCATGTGGGTTCAAGATCATCAGGCTTGGCAGCAAATGCCTTTTTTCCCCTGCTGAGCCAGCTCAAATGCCCAAAGCTGACTTTTAAGGTGATGCTTGCGTTCCAGTATCCATAGCGATCACTTGCTCGATCGCCAGCTTTTAATGCTTCTTCAGATTCCCTGCCTCTTTATCCCATAAGTTGCCTGTCTGGAATCTTTGATTCTGGGGAAACTCAAGCCAAAGCACTTATGAGGCTATTTTTTTAAATCTACTTAATACCCTACCAATAATAAAAAGGACAAGTTAAAGGAAAATACAGGGCTGGGCATATAGCTCAGCTGGTAGAATGCTTGCCTCGGATACGTGAGGTCCAGGGTTCAATCCCCAGCACACATAAACCAGATGCGGCCGAACATGCCTATAATCCCAGCACTGGGGAACATGAAAAGTTCAAGAGCATCTGATTATCCTTGACTACAAACTAGTTTAGGGCCAGCGTGGGCTACAAACAGAAAACCAACAAAAACAAAATAACAATAACTCTTCATCAGATACTGTGTATTTTAATGTGTGAGCGTGGAACATCGACTTTAACTCAGCATTGAACCTTCACAAAGCCCTGAAAGGATGCAGCAGCCTTGAAAGCAGGGACAAGTGTAATCCAACAGCGGTGTGTTGTGATTTCCCGAGTCACCGCAGGATTACCCTGAGGAAATGATTTCCTGATTTGTCATACTAGGTAATATTTACTATGCAACAAATTAAGTTCATTCTCCAATTATGCTAGTAGCATTTCCTCAAATTCAGTGGTTTCAAAATTACAAACTATTTTGTGTTTATTAAAAGAAAAGTTGAGTCGTCCCGTATTGTCTCCCCCCCCCCCCCCCCCGCACACCTCCCGTCCCAGACAGGGTTTCTCTGTGTGGCCCTGGCTGTCCTGAACTCACTCTGTAACTCTGTAGACCAGGCTGTCTTCGAACTCACAGAGATCCACCTGCCTCTGTCTCCTAAGGGCTGGAATTAAAAGCGTGCACCACCACCGCCTAGCTTGAAAAGTTGTGTTCTAAGTTCAGATCATTCTGGGCTTGATTTATGTTTGTTGCTCCAGTGACAGGAAAGTCCGGCGAGACATTTGCACGTGGTTGTTCATCATGTAGAGTAACTTCTAAAACTTTGCTGCTGAAGATCCCACCTTCCCTTTGCCCTGTTTCCTTAACCCTGTCCTCACCCTCCCAGGGATGTGATAGCTGGAAATCATGCTGACATCTTGGAGCAGGTAGATGAGAGGTAAATGTACCCAGGGATGGGGCGGCAAGCTGCTGGGACCCTGTGACCTCCATACTTGAGGCTGACCTACCAAGCCTGGATTGTCTCTGCCTCTGGACTGTCCAATAAGCAATGCAGAAACTTCTGCTCCACTAGGCCACTGTTAGTTTGGATTTCTGGTTTGTGAGAGTAAATGTATCGGAAGCAATGTTTTTGCAAAACACATTAAGCCGTTCAAACCGGCTGCTCAAGGTGAGTGTTGAAACTGAAAGGGTTACAGTATGATGAGCCGCCACACGTTTGGAGACTGTTGTCTAGGACTCAGACAGGTTAGAGGATGGGCCAGGAAAGCTGGGGGGTGGGGTGGGGAGGCAGATCACTGTTACACATGGTTCCATCCAGTCTTCTTCTCCAGAAATTGTGCAATTGATCAGAGACACCCAGGAGAAACCAGCACAGTACGCAGAATGGTGCATCAGTGTGCGTTCAGGCGGGGCGGCCCTCTGAGCACTCAACAGTGGGTAATTCATCCAGGCAAACAGAGGGGAAGCAGGCCGATAGAACATGGCTTGAAGGTAGCCAGGCTGGGGAGATGGCTCAGTGCACAAAGACACTTGCCATCAAGGCTGGCCCCCTGAGGCTGGTTCCCATGAAACACGGTGGAGGAAGAGAGCTGACTCGTGCAAGAGATCCTCTGATCTCTCAACCTGAACTGAGCCATACACTTGAGTGTGTGTGTCTGTGATTAAACATAATATAAAAGAATTTACTTCAGAAAAAAGATGGAGTAGGGAAGCGTTTTACGGAACAATAGTTTCCTCTTTCACACAGCTAGTAGCAGATGATTTGGAGAGGAAGTGTCCCAGGACAAGGCTGTTTTATCTGGTGTGTGTCCTAGGGTGTGGCCCAGTGCTTGGCACTCGGAAAAATTTGTTGAAAATACAGTCCAGTGCGCCGAGCGAGCGAGCGAGCGAGCGTTGTGTGGCTGAGGGGCAATACGCCATCCATTGACCTGCTTCCCGTCTCTGACTTCCTCTTCCACGCTCCAGCAGGAGGATGATTGAGGCTGACAGAGGGGCAGAGCTGACGGAAGAGGACAGGGCTCTCCCCACGGCACCCGATCCCGAGAATGGTATGTGTCGCCGAAGAGCCTTTTCTAGACCCGAAAAGACTTAACGATGAAATCGGAACGCACGGCCACGTACACAGGGCGACTTGCTGTGATCCATATGGGGGGGCTTATTCCTCACCTTTGCCCACTATGCTCGTGTTAATGACTCAGAGAGCGGCTGCCAGTGCAGGAAAGACACGGCCGTGGAGAGCGGGGACCCCACCAGGCCACACTGGGTTTCATGTGAAACCCAGAACCTCACAGCTTGCTCACATCCAGAGTGACACCTAAAAGAGGTTTTTATAATGAAAAATTCAAGGACTCACACATACACACACACACACACACACACACACACTCATACACACTCACAATAAATAAATGTAAAAAGTCTAATGGGAGGGCCAGCCGCCTGGCTCAGCGGTAGACTAGCTGCCGAGCTGACAGCAGCTCCATCTCTGTACCCACACGGTCCAAGGAGAGCCCTAACGCCTACACGTCGTCTTCTGACATTCACATGAACGCTGTGCCCTGCGTGCCCCCCCCCCCGCCCATCTCACACAAATAAATAACTCAGTGTCATTTGAAAAGTCTAGTGGAAGAGGTTTTCAGTAACACTTTCAG